ATTATAAGTTAAGCTTACCTAGCCGTTATAAAGACTATCTCCTTACGAGTAATAAGGAACCGTACATACTTACTTACTCCTTCGTTTAGAATAATATATATTCTCGATCGCCGAGCGCCCTTCTTGCCCCTATCCTAGAAAATCTAATTATACGACGCGAGAACTACTCTCCGGCTAAAGCTCTCTACTTCCGTTACTCCCGCGAGAACGAACGCTATAAAGTAGTACCTTAGCTAGACCGGACTCCTAGAGGCAGGGCTATAGAAGAGCTTTTATCCTATAGACAATAGGACTTATTATTCCTATAAGCCTAGAAGAGTCTCTAGGTTAACCTAGAATAACTACTCCTAATACCCGCGTAAACTAGGATTGAAATTGTACGTAGGCTGCCCGGTAGTACCTCTAACGAGCGCCTATAGCACTTTTAAACGTACTTAATACTCTATTCTTCCCTAGAGACTAGACTTGGATTAGCTGTCTTTGTACGACTTCGGCTCTCTTTGTAGTAACTCGCGAATAGAGTTAATAACGTCGAACTCGCCGGCGTACTTCTATCTCGTTAGGTACGAGCCTATCCTAATATATTATGCCTCGAGACTCGACGCTAAACCCCTCTTTACTACGCCTATTTAAAAACAAGGATGTTTTATCGATACTTATAGGCCCAATTCGACAAAAGCAGACTAGCTACTAAATCTTGTTTACTAGTTTAACGGGTATGTTCGTCCTAGAATTAGTAACAAAATCGTTTACGGCCCTAGCTAACATAACGCGTCCCTACTCCTCTACCTTACCTAGCTTCTCTTAAAGGTCGTATTACTAGGAATCTTATACTAAGACATCCTCTACTAAGCGTAGGCCTGTACCGAGCGATATTATAACTATCGATCGTCGCTACGTAAACTATCGACACGAATGTACTAAGATACAATACGAAAGCTAGAGGCTAACTTGTCTCCGCCGTTCTCGCCCGTAGTATACCGTTAAGTATTACTTATACCTCTGTTTTCCGTCACTTTACTAAGTTTCTAAGGCTTCCGTCCGCGGATAACACTACCTATAGGAAGCTTTACTTATACATTTAGACTTATATAAGAACTACCTATAATAAAGACAAGCCTACTCGAGGCTAAAGTTTATAAAGCGGGCGACGAATTTCGACTTCGAAGGCTAATATAGCGATACGGAGACCGCGAATGCTATTTCTTATACAGCCGCTAGAAAATTAGACGACTTACCTACGTAGACAATAGATTACTTCCGAGAATCGACAGCTACGGTTATCTGTCCGAAACTAGCTAGAGCGCGCTTACGTTACGCCGACTAGATCGATAGCGAGTACTAAATCCGTAAAGCTAATTACTATGTCTATTAGAACGGAGAGCTCGCTAACCGAAATCGTACTTTAGGCGGCTTTAGTAGTAGTAACTTTAAACATTAAATACTTCCCGGAGCCTTTACCGTAAGTAAAGCCGCATCTCTGTAGCTAATATTCTACTAGGAAATACATGAAATATGTAACGCTATAATTGACCTCTTTCGGAAGTAGAGATCGTAACTCTTAAGTCCGGCTACGCTAAGTATTCCAAGCTTATTATACGCGCTTTTGACGTTCGTTTTATACTAGTACCTTATCTCTTAATAGCTTATAGAGTTACAGAGTCGTGTACCGAGCCTCGAGCCCTTAATATCTAGTATAACCCTAGCGTTATCTCTAAGTCGAATTGAATCGCGTTCGGCCGAACAATAAGGTTGTAAAGTAACCCTCCTAGGGAGAAGAAGAAGTAATGTCTAGTAAAATATACACTTCCGTATAGTAGTCCTCTAACTCCTAGACATTACTAGGACGACCCCCTTCTACATAACGGCTTAATAGTAACAGTATATCGATTAGGTCGACGTAGGACGTAAGTAGTACAGCTTCCCGTACCCTTCTACTTCGTCCGCCGAGAGACAAGCTTTGTCTTACAGGTACTTAGTATAAGAGCTTTAGCTACAAATAATGTCCCTAGGCCGATAGGAGCTTAATAAGTAATAAATGTAAGAATCCTCTCGTTATATATATACTAATCTATAGCTTTAGCCTGTCGGAACGGTAGCTTACTTCGCCTATCGGTCCTATGAATACGAGCGGTTGTTTTATAGACGTCGTTACCCCCTTCGTATAGGATGTATGTAGGCTCTTCTCGTCTTATATAGTTTTGCTTCTACGTAGATAATAACTTACGCTCTTAAAGGTCGCTAACCTAGTTTAGTAGAGATTTCTAGAGCTAGTAAGTCAATACCGTAAAGACAGCTTTGTAGTAAGATACGGGCTTCCAAATTATAGGGACGATAACAAAATTTAGAGCTTACTCTAACATTATGCCTACCCTACAAACTTAGAGCTTACACTCTAACATTGTGCATTATATACAAACTTAGAGCTTACAAACTTAGAATTCGCTCTATAGTTGTTAACAATATATAATAGTAGACCGAAGCTTATAACGAAATTATGGTCTACTAATCTTTATAAGGTTTCCTAATTGGTTCGTTAGTATTATCGTGTTAGGAAATGTATTTTCGACCTCCTTAAAGTACCGCGCAACGTGTACCTCCTAAACAAGGCGCCGAGCGAAGATTCCGATTAATCTTCCGTCTTATATCTCGGAAACAAGAATGTACCAGCTTAATAAGTGAGACTGTTATGCTTTTGCCCTACTGTTTCCAACCTCGAGGACAGAGTAAGGGGTATTACAAGATAGCTCGTTGTATAGCAAGTCTAAATAAATTCCTACTCTAGGAAAGATTTATATCTAGTTAGAACAATCTCTAATGCGAGTACCTTGGATCGTAGTCTAGGATCGTTCGTTATATAGCCGAGCGGTTCACAGTTTATGGTCGCGCGCCGCTCGTTCTGTCGTCTTGGAGGGTACTACACATAGCGGCGGCAATGCCGGTAGCTACCTATAAGTTGTGACAGTCAAAGCATGTGGCTTCGACGCGTCTGCTCGTAGCGTGTCGCTTGGTGCAGATAGCCGCATAGGCTTGCTCTCCTCACCTGTTAAGTTCTCGACATCCATACAAGTCATATCACCCTAATGCCGTACAGCTGTCTTGGATTGACAGGTACTGGTCGTCTTGGGGGGCTCTTAGAGCAGCGCGATACCACTTCCTTCTACAGAGTTCGTGCTCTTGCTGCGTGACACGAACGCATGCGATGGAGAAGGATTATCGAGCAGTGCCTGCATCCTTCGTGAAGCAAGACCTTAGTTCTCCGGACAGGTAGACCTTAATAGCTTCGAAATTCCATCCGGATAATCGAGATACTCTCGCGACTTTGCTGTTGCTTGATAATGATCGCAGACACTTGAGTTGGTGCATAATGGAGAAGTCTTGCGGGAGCCGTGTCTGCTTACTATCTGCGTCTCTTAACCTATGCTACCTGAAGTAGCTATTCTGAAATTCTGTCCGGGACGTAGTCGCCTGGAAAAACTATCCTAGAGGCACAACACCTTACACAGTGTCGCGTGTCGTGATGCGGGACGCGTGCACCCTCTGGTCCAATTTGAGAAAGATTTTTGCGAGACATTCATTACTGTAAAGTTCCGGGTGTCCGCTTTTGAGTCCGAAGCCGTCTGTAGTTGCCGTTCAGTTGCCATTGGCAGGAAAGTCAAGCTTATCGAGTGCTATGAATTAGCGTGTCAGAATCTTGGACCCCGGAAGTAGATGATATCGACATCGAACGTCTCTTCATCCCTAACAGAGACTCGGGAAGGATTGATGTCTTCCCGGATCTCCCATTACCGACCGCTGGTAAGTGCCTGGATACTTGCATCGGTCCGGCAAGCGTGTTCACCTCTTTGATCTGCTTAATGTAATCTCGTGAGTCGTGTCCACCGGGTGTGATGTGAAATCAAATGACTCTCTTTATGTACGATGGAATTTAATCGCATTTGTAACTAATGTGACCGCGTCTAGTGGTCTTTATGTTTTCCGATGCCAAAGGAGCCCTTGCATCGAGAATCCAGTTGAAGGATACAGCATTTTGCAGGTCATTGCCGAACGTTAGACATCGTCTGCCGCGGCTAGAAGCTTTCCGATTAGTGTGAATGTGTGAACCAAGAAGGCCTGAAATCAGACTCTCTCCTCAGAATGTTAGTGAGAAGTCGCACTCCAGCCTTCTGACCCCTCAACGGCTTTTCAAGCCCTGCAGCAGGAACGTAGCCGATCTGTGTTAAGACGAATTGGGGCCGAAGAGATCAGAAGTTATCGAATCGATGAGCCAAATTGAACATCGAACGCCATGGGGTCGCACACTCAAGGTGAGTACCAAATCTGCACAGCTTCCACGATGGCCTCGGCACGGTAATATAATCGATCATCCGGTATGCTCAGATACTCCCAGTAGGAGTCGTTCTCACCGCCGAGCTTTTCGCTGCTTTCTCCAAGGCATCGGTCGCCCGAGCTTGGAAGTTCTGGTACAGGATTCCAGCTTGGTCATTAGAAGTGTACGTCTCGCCGATGGCGATAGCAAGCTGGAGTTCCCACTCTAGTCACGTTTCTTTTTTTCCAAACTTCACGGGTGCATAGCCACAAATGACACAGGCTTTCCGAAGGGCGTTACCGCTTCTTCTTCGTAGAAGCTAGAACACTGGCACCGAGTGTTCTTTGCGATCTTCGGGCGGTCAAATTGCGCAGGAACCCGTGCGACTGGCTTTCGTGCGAAGGATCGAGAGTCCAATACTAGACGGATAGGATTACCGCACATCGGCAACCAGGATGCAAATGAGCCTCTCGTTTGGAATGGGAGTCTCAGGGTGTCGGCTGACCCGATAGGACGGGCGGCTTTCTGAAGCAGACGGTCCTCTAGGAAGGACACGTCTTCAAGATCGTCTTTCCGTCAATTCCACAATGGCGATTACGATAGACTTCTCGGCGGCCACACAGTCTCATGGTCAGTCATATCGATCCAGACGGCATGTACGCAGGCGAAACGTGGTTGCAGAGAAATGACGTTATCCCTGGCTCGCGAAGAAGTTCACGTTACCGCAGATGTCTAGACCATCACCGCCGTACGACGCCGAAGATGATACTTCGCGCTTCCCAAACTTGGCATTGGCTTCGTCATCCTCTTGTGTTGCTTTGACTGGATGCTCAAAATCGACTGTGAGCTCTCTCGAGTAGGCATCTGGCTCGGATTGCCTGAGCTTCCATGTCGTAGGCATCTTCTCTGGTTCCAGCTTATACTGCGCACTATCTTGAATCCAGGTCCCTGGGTCTTTGGCTGCAGTCGCGGCAGATGCAGAATCCACTCTCCCCACAATTGGCTCAAGTTTCAACATTTGACACCTGTGACTTTGGCAAGTCTTGCGACTCAATTCGGTTTGGCACAACCTCAACGATTTCTTCGAGCCCGATCTCCTGGTCTTTGCTATTAGGGACAGTGGTACTACACGGCGCGGGCGGCGGCGTGCTTGCAGCTTGGCGCTTATGTGAGGCGGCGGCATTAATGTTCCGTCGGAACGAGGCGGTTGTTGTGGTGATGATTGTACAGTGCGAAGAGGGAAGTGAGGTCTGACAGAGACTGCACTGCTCTAGCGTGGAGATGTGGAGCCCCGCCTGAAAATCCGGGGTAGCTAGGAAACCTGGGGTAGCCACGTGCATGCCAAGTCCGGGGACCACCATTAGGTCGGCAACACACCAGATCCCACAGAGTGATACTAACACACATCACTATCAATATGTGTCAATCTCCTCATCGACCCGCCGAGGACGGCTTTCGCATCCTATCACTCATTATTGCCGGTCTCATTAGCATCGCTACCACGGTACCACCACAGCGGGGCCCCGGGCACAGGGCATGCGGTATGCAACACCAACGCGTGGCCCTCAGGTGTATCGCAAAGGCATGCAATGATTCCAATAGGTGATCTTCCGTCTCATCACCCTGAGCTGCGTACATGAGTTGCCCGCACCCTTCCTCGACAAATTCCGATTGGAATGGCGGCCTAGGATTCGGACGACTTTTGCTTCTTGAATCCGGCTAATTCATATCAGTATCGCCATCACCCTACATAAGTTCTCGATATCTCGCGTCACGACGGCAAGGAGGATGGCACTTTCAGCCCCTTGTTTGGCATTCTACTCAATCACTTGGTCGTCTCGTTCCCCATCCACGACTTTCGGGTATATCCAGAAATTTTGTCCTTTGCCAACCTTGAACAAACTGCTGTTGAACGCCAGCAATACCTAGGAAATCTTTTGCATACACAGTTTTGACAATTTGACGCCTGTCTCCTTCGACTCGGAACTATTCTGTACGGTTCTCGCATTGGAGACATGATCCGAGCCACCTCATGGGTCCACTTACTTAGCTCAAATTTCAACTGGATATCTCCGATTCAGTCACCTCGCATGTACAGCCAAGTTCGGTCACCCTTTTCCTTTGGAAGCGTGGGTGACGCTACGGGTACAAAGCCGCTGTGTTTGGAAGGACTGTTATGGAGCAAGGACTTTTTACCGTCGCCTGGTAGACTCAGGAGTGCCTCGCTAAAGAGAAGGTTGAAGGAGTACCGCTAGGACTTGGTCTCGATCAGAAAAGTCTGATCATCCTTCACGTAATAAAAATGAACGGTACCTTGGAGTGTCCCTGGACTAAGAAGGCTCAGGCGAGAGAAACGAACACGAACTGGAAATCAACTCAGCCCAAACAAGCAACCACAAGCCGGAAAAAGCAATGCCTGTGAATTATGTTGAATCGAACTACCAAGACCCCCATTTCAATGCCTTGCAATCATATACGAAACATGTTCAAATGCTTCCAGGCCATCACGGAAGGCCTTCCAGCGGGTACGAACTACCGAGAAATCGGCGGCATATTCAGGAGTCAATTCGAGCACATTGCGGCCTTCTAAGGTTTGACGGTGCATTCCGCACAGAGCGGACGTGAGCGGTTTGCGGATCTGAGGATGAGAGCGAGAGCCAAGCTCGCGGCGGGGGCGGCGAGAAGAATGCGCGGAAGAACACTCGGGGTATGGAGCCAGAGGAACCCGTAGTGATGGACCGATGGTGTTGGTACGGCGACGGCGACGAGGAAGACCTGATCGCCCTCGAGGGCTTCGATTGCTACACTCAGCTCCTGGGTTGATGGAGACGAACCGATCTACTTGACCGAGCAGCCTAAGGGCGTCCCCCGTGAATGATGCCGGTCGTTTTGGGGGCTTTGACGGCATATGACGTCTCCGGTGTGCTGTCGATGCGGGAATTCAAGCATCGTTCGACATTGGGCATCTTGCCAAAAAGAGCTGGTGACGGAGGCGGTGGTGGTTGTTGCTACTGCTGCAACTCTACGGTTTGCCGCTCAACTTTGAACGTTCTCAAGTCAACAGACACAATTTCCGGCCCGCGGGGCATCCCTTGTGCAATTTTTTCGATCGCTGTCTCTTGACATCCATTCCGGCCAAGCAATACATCACTAACACAATATCCTCACACCGCAAGGCCAGCTAACGCAACAGGACCAGCATTGGCGTCGACCAAAATCACGGAGAACGAGCATAATTGATACCAACTTTTCAATCCCAAGATGGTTAGAGCTCGCAGATGCGGCCAAAATTCTGCATGTCCTGATGCCTTTCTGCAGCATGGTCGGCAACGAATTGCTCCAAATCGCTTCTCGCGGCGAATCGAGACACCCAGGCTTCATACTGGACCACTGGTCCGGAAACCTGGTCCAAAAATTTGGTCCGGGGCCAGCGATTGTAGGCATGAATCTCTGGTCTAACATGTCGAGCCTGCGGAACAGTCCTTGCTAAATATGTCTTCAATTTCAAGAGGGCTACGGCTTCGCCGTCATCGGCTTGATGCGAGTCCAAGGGAGGAAATTCGAGATATTCTTACAAAAAGGCATGGGCGATGGTAGAGTTCTGAAAGCGCAGATAGGACTTGAAGCCCTCGGCGATTTTCCGAACAAGGCGAGATGATGGGAAAGCTGTAGAAGCGCAAGTCGGACTTGAGGTCGTACGCTTCGTTGTGGTCCGGACTTCAGAGAAGCCTTGGGCTGGTCGACCAACTACCAACTACAGAGCAATTTTCCACAGCTGGAGGCTCTGGCTATTCTTCGACAGTTTCCCTCGCCCGACTGGCGCTTGCCTTATTTACGAGGACTTCCTCCCTCGTTGATTTAGCATTTAGCGTGATCTTGCCTTTCGAGAACAGTAGAGTCGCGGACATTCGACGTCCTCCTACTAGAAGAACATCCGCTCCTTCCGAGTCCTTCGTTGCTTTGGCATTTGAAATAATCTTGCCCTCGTAAAAGGGGAAATATTCAACCTTTTCCCTGCTATAGGAACACTTTGCCGTCTTGCAGAAACTGTACATGTACGACGACGAATTCTCCCATCTCATCCTATACAATGTACTATCATTACAATATTAATTCGTAGCTTACATTTGCTTCGCCTTGCCGGAAGCGTTAAATATAGCAGTAACGGTATATTCTAGAGGAGGGTTTTGTTCTCCTTTTCTGTCTTGTTAATTCCTCGATATATTGATTGTACTTGTTCTGTCTTTCCTTTTATTAACACAGCCTTGCTCCGGACTTATGCCCTTAGAGCACCTTGTGTACAACGGGCCTTATCTACGGCAACGACTTAGGTAGCGAATAATTGTAACTTATTTACAAACTTCGGCGAATGATTGTGATTCACTTACAAACTTTGGCCAACGATTGTATCCCACTTACATACTTTCAATTCAAGAACGGCAAGTATTGCACTCCACTGCCAATATCTTCGACCATCCCCTTTAACATAGCATTAAAGGTAACATATGCCGACCTCCATCCTCGCGTACTAGTAATCCCATCTATGCCTGTAACTTCACTGCAGCATGGGGCACGAACTTACAGCTCGAAGAGCTTTATTTGTATTAGAAGTTCTTCGAAAAGAAAGCGCTCCATTTCTTGCTAAGCATGATTAATTTGTCGTAGGCAATAGCATTGCTTAAGATATCTTATCCCCCGCGAGAAATCGCAGACCAAAGCAGCAGTCGAAGCTGCAACATCACTTCCACTTTCAGCTTCTCCATGCCTTATGATCCCGTTACTGCTTCCTCTTCTTCTATTCCATCCCCCGTCCCTGGACACACTCAGTCACTCCTCCTCCCTCCCCTCCCCACCAATCCGAAGCCGAACACACTATATCATCGCACCCATTACGTCCGTCGTCCGCCTTCGCTATCTAGTTGAAGCGAGAAAGAAAAGGAAGCGTCACAGCGTCAATCGGCACAGAAATAAAACGCGTATCTACTTCTCCACGCACGTTCATCGGTCGGTTGCTCGATCCTCTTGAGTCTTCCGGGGTATTTAAGACGCCGGGCGGGAACTCTTCTCGCATCCTACATATATAGAAAACACAGCGAGCGATCGACTTCCAAGTCTCGTCCGTGCCGCGGCGCAGTTTCGTCGTTGTTAATTAACACTACACGAACAATTGCGTGGTTTTGCAAACGATCGGTCTCTCGTTTCCGGCACACTATAGCTTCTCCGCGCCCTCCTTCTGCAAATGACGAGATCGACGACAGCTCCAGCACCAGCACGAGTTTCCGGTCTCCCACCTCCACCTCTACGGACATCGATATCGACATCGACATTAAGAAGCCCGCTCTGCCTCCGAACGCGGAGACCCAGGACGAGAACTCCACTCCTCGGCTATATCGAGTCGGATATCGAAAACGGGGCCCTCGCTTACTACGAAGAGCCATAACCGCAGCTAGAAACAGACACGGAGACAAGAACCTACCAATCCCTTCTCTCCCTCCTATCACTAGATTACGACCCTCCAACACCACCCCCTTTTTCACGTCAAAGCTATCACCGCAAACCCTACGCCTTTGTGAAAGTCCTTCGCCCTCGGGACTTAATGGTTTCGAAACGGAAGATTCAAGACGAGAGATTCCTTTAGGGTGCTTAGCAATTGGTTGAAGAGTTGCCAGTGAAGAATTACGGACCGCAATGGACTGCAATCGGGCCTATTGGAGGGAACATTCTTTTTGGTATACCTCGCGACGACTGAGTCTTCCGATCTTCTTTGCGGAAGATATTGGATACCAAAGCGGTATCACAGGGCAGACAATACCATTATCTCTCTCTTTCGCCCTCTCTCGCCGAAGAGAAAGGAAGAAAAAGCAGGAAGACCAAAAAGAATCCAATACCCAAATGCCATAGGCCGAAAGCCGAGATCTATCCTGTTCAACTTGTCCCGTATTCCAAATTATACTCTACATGCCGTATCACTTGCAAAAGATCGAAGACCAAGCCACTCCCCTCTCCAAAACCTATCCCTACAGCATTACATGTCCGCCTTTCCGAATCCCTGTCGTGCTTCACCGACCCACGACCATCCTTCTCTTCTTCATTATCTATCATCCTCGTTCGTCATGAAGGTCTCCTCCCTGGAACCAAGGATCGCGTTCGCGGAAAGGGACGAATTCGATACTGTCCCGTCCGCGTTTGAGCATGGAGCCGCCTTCGATTAGTGGTTCTGATTTGTGGGAGGCGTCTGCCTGAGTTCCAGTGGTGGTGGTTGCTGAAGGAGACGAGAGAGAATACGCAAGGGCGACGATGAGGAGGAGGATGACGAAGGCGAGGAATGTGTCCTTCCTGTGATCGGTGGCGCTGGTGTTGCCCGTGGTCGGTGGTGGGATATGGACGTGATGGGGTGGAGTAGGGACGGGATGGCCGCTGCTGCTGCTGCCACTGTTTGCGTTGTGGTCTGGGAGAAGCGAGGTATCAGCGCCATCCCGGCTATGTCTGTCGAGATGACCGACGTGGCCCCCTGACGTAGAAGGTGTTGGAGACGATGCATGTAGGCCGCTCGATCCTCCGTCTCTGATCTTCTCAATGGTACCTTCAAGACTCTTCTCGGCAGCGCTGGAGCCAGCAGCTTCGGTGGTATTCGCATTGGTATCCGCATTGGCAAGATCGTGTCCTGTACCGTCATCTTGCTCACTCTCAGACATGCCGTCATCCGTCTTCTTTTTTCGCTTGCTGCCGCCGATCTTGATCTTGGTGTTGGTCTTTCTCGTGCGCGTTGGAAGCATGGTGGATGGCGCAGCTGGTGCAGCTCTGGTTGACTCCGTAACAGCTCCTCCGCCCGGTCGTCTCATTCTTAGGTTGGCTGGCATTCCTTCTTCGTACTCTCGGTGGAGAGTGTCTGCTGGGCGTGTGTCGCGGTGTGCGTCTGATGCGTGAGGAGGACTGATGTTCGAGAGGAAAAAGTCGTCGAGTTGGCTGAAAATCGCAAAGGCCTGCTTGAATTACTGCATGGAGGAGGATGCACTTGGAGATGGTGGGATGTCTGGTGCAAACAAGCTATGACTGCGTGGATAAGTTTTACAAGAAAGTATCCCTTTTCTGTTGAAGGCGGAAGAAGTGTTTGAGAGCAGTGAAAGAGGGGCGATACTTCACCTGTCATGTGACTGATGCCTGAGACTGCAGCGCGTCACCTTTACCTGGTATCAAGAGACTGACGCATCTCCTGCTGCGGCGAGCTGCCACCTGTCTTGCCGACCGAGACAAGTGAGCCATGCTTGAGACTGTACGGACAATAAATGGTGCTGGGTATGATAGGGCGTAATTGAGGCGGAAGTTGGTGATGACGAGTGCGAGCCATTGTCTCGAGCAGTAGGGCCTTGAATGTAAGATGTTGTGTCTAGTCGGCTCACGAAGCAGATTCGGGGCGCGAGCTGTTGTCATATTCAGGTGTGTGCTCGGGAAAGCTGCACGCAAGTGAAGCGACGTGTTTCCCGCATCACGTCATCACGTGGTCAGGCGTCGAATTCTTTGGAGTCGGTCGCGGGAATGCGCCGCATCTTCCATATCTTTGCATCTGTTGGGAAGGACCACTATGAGCATTTTTGGGCGAAGTTGTGCGAGTATGCAAATCAGTAGAATGTCCACCTCCGCGAGACTTCTAAACACTCGCTGATAGTTGGATGGCGTCAGACATGAAAATTTGACGCGCGTATTGATGGTCACATGAGATCGGCCAATCGGCTCGTATTCCGCGGCCGGGAAGCATCCGATGCGTCAACGAGTCAGGCATCTCCGCGGCAACTCAAGTCGCTTCCCAGCTTCGACTCTCGATTCGCTCGCAACACCATCTCCCATCTCTTAACATCCTCCATTTATCGTCACACACTACCACATACCATATACTCGCCACGATAGATACATACCTCCACGGCTTCATTTCCCAATCGCGAAATTCATGAGTCGAGTGCATCGACGCCTGCCCAGACGACGCCTTCCACCTGATCCATCCACGCCATGAGCTCGCGCCTCTCCTCTCTGCCCGCCGCCCACGACGTCCATACCATCTCCTCCGTCGACCTCGATCGCTCGTCATCCGCCAACATCTCATACAAGCTCACCCTCGACTCATTCCCCAGAAACGCCCACTGCCATCCTTCCGACCACGCCTCCAGTCTCTGCCCGGCGCTGTCGCACCATTCCACCATGCTCTCCGCCGCCTCAATCACACCCCGCAGCCGGTTCTCGTCATTGTCCTCGCCGTTACTGAGTCTGAGAGAAGCCTGCGCGAGCTGAAAAATATAACGAGCCTCTCCGCGGAGAGATTGGATCCTGTCCACCGTAACAGGTACTCGCAGCAATCTGCTGGAGGATGACCAGGAATGTGAAGAGGAGGAGGTGATGGTGCCGTTCAGTAGGGCTCCCTGCTCGTCCAGCACCTCCACCAGCCGTCTGGACCAGCGAATTGGCGGATACGATATAATGATGCGATTCGTTGCGTGGACGATAGATTCGGTAAAGGCCGGGTAGAGGATGGGATACCTGCTGGGATACCTGCGGGATAGGATGCCAGCATCGAACTGCGCCCACTCGCGCCAGTAGAGTGCAACGCCAACAAGGTATGCGTGCGCCCGCTCCATCCAGTCTCTGCCGGGGTGGTTTGGCATCGCACCCAACTGCTCGACTTGGAATGTCAGCCTGCTTTTCTCCTCTCCCAATCGAGATCCGGTGTCCTCTCCTCCGAACGGAAAGCAGATCTTCTCGCTGGTACTGCTGCACACCCGAGCTGGCCAGTCTCTGAGCACAATCTCACTGAGATGCTGCACCCTCCCCAACACGCTACCACGGGCGAATTCGGCCAGCAGCAAAGCACTGGCTGATGCTTCGGAGCTGTCTTCGGGACCGTCCTCGGAAGTCCTAGTCTTGGGTTCGCCTGCAATCGCTTCGATCGCACTGGTCAGGCGGCTGACTTGCGCCGCCAGTTCGGTGGTGCTCTGCTCCCATGCGTAACGATGAGCAATGGTGGTATTCAGGCACGGCACGTCCCCAGTCGTCCGGTAAATCGGGGGCGTGGGTGGTTTGTGCTTGTCAAAGAGAGCAGACTGGAGCGGCGCGCCCAAGACAATGCCAAGCGAAATGGCAAGGAGAGCAACAACAATGGCTATCGACCACACAAATCTTACGCCGAGCTTCTTGAGCTTCCGGGAAATGACCGGGGGCTTCGCTGTTGAAGGTGTTGGCGGCTTTGCTCTACCAGTATCTCCCGACTCCGTGCGGCGCCGATCCGTCTCGCCTTGCAACCTTCCTAGACGCTTGCGGAGGCTTGGAAGGTGATGGCCGAGTACTGAAGACTCTTGCAAGTCTTGATCAGTAGAGATGCGCTGTGCGGAGGTGAAGTTATCTTGACTTTGCGGCAACGAGATGGGCTTCTTCGTGTTGGACTGATGACCCCGTTGATGACCATTCTGTAGGACTGGCTGTTCTCCCCGGATTGGCCATGATCCAGGATCTTCCTCCGAATCATCTCTCTCCTCGTCGTCGTTTTCTTTCGCCGCTGTGGAAGCTTCCGTTTTGACGGCACTGCTGGTGGAATGTGTATTGGGTTGTTGGTTTTGCCACGGTATTTGAGATGCGCTCTCTGGTGATCCAGGCGTCGGTAATTGAGGCCTGCCTCGTTGTCGACCCTTCTCCAGTGGTGGCGCTTGTGGCAGTCGAGGTCTCTCTAGTCGTTGCGACGGCAATCGAGGTACGGGCAACGATGGCTCTGTCAACCCCTGATGCTGCTGCTTACGAGCGCCTGACTCCGGCTTTGGTTTTGGTTTCGGTTCTGGTCCTGGTCCTGGTGGCATGGAAATACTTCTACCACCGCCGTTGCCGTCAGCTTTGTTGACCTTCCACTCCGCAGTCGGCGGAGGTGAAAGACGACGACGTTGGTGCATGGAATGCCTGCGTCGTGGGTTGGAGTTTCCCGACGAAGATGATAGTTCCATGGTCTGTTGGTTCGTGCGACTCAAGATGTTGGATGATGATGTTGCCGGCTGACTGAGAAGAAGGAGAAGCTCCGTGGCGACGTCTCCGCTTTCTTTCCCCAAGGCTTGGTATTGTCGGTGATGCTGACGCCCTTGCTCCTTAGTGGTATACTCTGAGTGTCCGTTTGCTCAAATGTTCTTGTTGGGGCGCACGGATCTCTCTGTCAGTGCTGGCTAGGAACATAAAGAATACGAAGAAAGACCCAGATCGGATATTGGTATCGCGACGTTCCTGTTGCTGGCGGCAGTGTGTGATGCTGTGGTGTTGTGACGATAGAAGCATTCGACGCCGGCGATTGTCAACTCGGAAGTCCGTCCCCGGCCTCCGGCCTGATCTGATAAGCCAGACCAAACGCCATGTCTTCGAGTTTGCTTCTCACCCCTCGCCTGTGCTTTTGTTGCACGAACGAATGAACTCCATCTCTACCGCATGAAATACCAGCCTCGCATCTCAATACGCAGGCGGGGCATATTCCCTTGGACGAGACTGGCTTGGTTTTTGTTTTTTCCCGGTCTGCGCTTTTGCCTCAACAGCCGACTGTTGGGACGGCACGCCATTTGCCGGCCGGAAAGAAATCAGTACGAAGGACGACATCGAAAAATTCATCAGTCATCTGCCTTCCGTATCTTTATCCTGGGGCGAGAGGGGTTATTTGGTGGATACGGACTGCGCTTCTTAGTGCTTCGTCTTTGGTCTTTCACTTTGCGCTTGCGATTACGATTGCGATTGAACCATCTACGGGAAGCGGGAGCCAGCACGACCAGATCTTTCAGCATCTCAGACCGCGGTCGAACATAACTCGGGACTACATCTGTCACTGTTGGCCAAAGATTCCCACATTTTGTTCCGGCTTCTGATTCTCGGGACGATCGGACTGCCAATCCTTGAAAGGACGGGTTTCCCGCCACGGCCACGATAGAAACGAATCAAATACAGCTTACAACTATCGCTTTGAAGCAAGACTGGCGTTGTCGTCAATTGGTTATGGCCGATCGTCACGGGGATTACCATAATGAGGAGCAGGGCTCAGACCACTGGCTTGCTGCTGCTACAACTGCTACGGCTGCCCAAGAAGGACAAGGATATGATAATGATGCGCTGTCTGATTCTCAACATCTGAGTCAACGAGAGCCTGGGCCACATGGCGCTGCTGCTGCTCCATGTTCGCACCATCTTGGAAGCCAACATGACCATTGTCAACAACACTACGAAGACGAAGGGGATCGTTGCCAGGGGCAGCACGATCGCTCATGTCCTTCGTCGGCGCCAGTATCAACGTTTTCAAGCTTTCCTGCATATTCCGAGCAACATGGAGTAGAGCAGCGTCTGAATCCGCGCCAGTATGAACCGTACGACGGGCTTTCGGCGGAGATGGAACGGGCTGAAGAGCTTCGAGACGAGCGCCAGTATGATGACTCCTTGGCGGACGGAGGAGAAGAAGGCTTGACTAATGATCCTCGACACTTTACTTCGTCAGACATTGGCCACCTCAACACGAATGATGGCGGTACTTTGAGATTGCAGGACGAGGCGAATATCGATGTGGACCAGGCTACAAAGGAAGCAGAGCTCGCTGCTGCGACGGATTCACGGGATAGTCATAGCAGTGATAGATCTGCGCCTTCGGCTTGGTGTCCTCGAGAAGGAGATGAGCAGAGTGATAGGGTTGGAGAGCGAGATGGAAAAGAACAACATCTCTCCATGGCGGCTGCAAAACATGAAGATACTGAGGATCCCGCAAACAACTACGACAGCAACGACGAGCGCCATACGTTCCATCATCGCCCGGGGACAGAAAATGGCAACGACAGCGCTACTTCCTCTCCTAGTTCCCGTTGCTCGGGGATCATGGGTTTGCCACGGCGAGAAGGCGAACAGCAAGAAGAAGAGGAAGAAGAAGAAGAGGTGGGAGACGTCGATTTGCAATCACAAGTCTCATCGGAGGTTACAGAGCCACTGCGGGATCCTGAGTCTTCGAGAGGCAGGTCGTTGGCTGATGAATTGACCGGGGTGGGCGAGTTCGAGGGAGGTGGGGAAGGAGAGGAAGAATGGGAGGAGGGAGGGGAGGAGGAGAAGGAGGAGAACCAAGAGAAGGAGGAAAAGGGGGAAAAGGGGGAAGAGGAAGAGGAGCCGTCGGATCCAGCATCTCTGGAACGCATGTCGTTGTTTGAGGAAATGACGGCGCTGGATCAGGAGACTAAGGGCGAGGAATTCCAAGAAGAAGGAAAGGAAGAGGTGGAGGAAGAAGACCAGTCGAGTTACTACCCTCAAGCCAATGAGTTCGGTCCTGGTAAGGAGCGAGAAGAGGATGGGTGGCGAGGTTTGGGTGAAGGCGGACCATTCGGAGGACGAGGAGAAGAGATTTGGGAAGAACGCGATCAGCAGGGTAATGTTGCGGCAGATGAGATCATCCAGGAGCCATTCATCGATTACGGGAACGAGGACAAGCAAGCGAATCCCACTCCCATCTCTCAGCGGATCCTCCACTTCCTCAGCCTGTTCATCGTCACACACCCAGTCCCTCCCCACGAGATCATCAACAATCCCCTCCAATACACCGGTCTACGCCTCCAACTCCGAGCGCATCACCAGAACTATCTCAAGGTCGCCCTCACCGTCCTCTGCATCCCCCTGACCTACGTCTTCTTCTATCATTTCCCGCAAAATCTCGTCACGAGTCTGATCGCCCATGATGAGCACAAAGGGGATCCGGACGTCTTGAAGAAGTGGGTGAGAGGTCAGTATCGCAGGGAGATGGAGACGGGGTTGGGTGTGAGTCGGAATGCGCTGGAGGTGTTGATCAAACACCACACGAGGTGGGTCATGTTTGAGGTTGCTATAGGCCTTCTGGCGGGTCTTGCTGTCGGGATCGGGGGGTTGGCGCTTGTCTTTATCGTGATAGGGCTTTTCGGAGTGGAAACAGAGGTATTCGTCTGGATGGGGATAATAGGATCGGGGAATGTATCCGGGACTGTGCTGGTGGATACGGGAGTATCACATCACCTTCCCGGCCCCGTCGCGGCCCCCATCAGGGGAGGAGACGGAGCTGGACGCGGAGGAAACATCATGCTGTCCTCCCCGGACATGGCCTCACGACTGTGTATCGACCTTCTCCTCAACCAACCACCACTCCTCGCCACCACCGCAACCGCATCGCTCCTCCTCTATCAAGCCTGGTCTCTCTCGACTCTCAATTTCCACCTCCCTCCAAGAGACGCTCTCAACGAGGCTTTCCAGCTTGCTATCGAGGCCACACCTGCTCGCTCTTCTCCCTCGTTCTCTTTATCAAACGACTTCGACTTCCGCGCGAATGCTGAGAAGAGCAGCAACCCACTTCAGAGTCTCGCGAACGAATATCTAATCCGTGAGGAGAGGGGTCGAAAGAGGAGGAGTGTCCTTTTAGATAATGGAGGCGTGGAAGGGGAGATTTTCGGGATGCTTCTCAGTCCTGGTTCTTCGCGGTCATCATTACCGGTAGTACGGGGGGAGAGGGAATTGGACGAGGAGGGCAGCAATAATGATATCGATATCTGGGAATGCTGCGTTCCTTGTGTTTTGGAGGCTTTGAGGTTGGTTCGGGTCGTTGTGAGGCGGGAGGAGGAGGAGGGGGGGGTGAGGGGGGTTCGGTAGGGTGATAGGGGGGAGGATGGGTTGGATGGTAGAGCTAGAGAAGGAGGGGATAGGGTGTTTTGGTTTCGGGGTGGAGGGATACTAGGTGAGATGATCGTTAAGGGTGGGTTTGGCGGGAGGAGGGGATAGATAGCTGAATTTGGATGGTTTAGTCTGCAGAGTCTAGAGAGTCGAGAGTTAAGGTTAAGCATTATAGTCGGCGTACTGCTGTTCTTCGTTAAGCGCAATGATTGTCTCTTATCCACGTGAGCTCGAGTTGTCTTCGTTAGAATGCTTCCAACTCCGATTTCGTCCGCTTCGTCGAAATCTAGCATTGGAACATACCTAAAGCTATCGAGGCTAGTAGTAATTACGAAGAACGGGGACGGTTAAATTTTCACGAACATAGAGTAGTCTCGGACTGCTTGATCGGAGATTGACAGAAGCGTACAGTATACGAAGGCGATATTCAGAGTCCTGTTCTACTATTGTAAGTTAACGACAATCTTGGAATGGCCTCGCTCTACTATTGCACGATGTCTACAATCTTAGCCCTACTATTGCGCACATTCCACAATCTTAGCTTTACTATTGCGAAGACTTTACAATATTAGGAATTTTCCTAACGAGAGCTGGCGAAGAAGAAGATTTGATCAAGTTTTACGCAATCCCTGGACGAAGCTTAATATTCGTAAGCCTCTCGATCGATGTCGAGTGGGAGATTCAAGTAAGTGAGGTTGTGTGGCCCCTTACTAAATTTTATGATTTTAGGGGGTTTTCCCCACGAGGGACCGGCAAAGAAGAACATTTAAGTCTTATACAAGCAGTCGACGAACTCCACGATTCTTGATTTCTCGATCGATGTCGAGACGAACCTGGCTGTTGTGAACTTGTGACAATCGTGTGGTGGTGGTAGAGAGGTCACGTGCTTTGTTGGCTGGATGAAAGTTAATGACGCAAGCGCTGCGCCTCAGCCTGCTCCGCTCCTCTCTCTTCACTCTCACCATCACCACTGTATCAGCATTGACATTACTACACACACTCGCATCATGTTGTTGACCAAGTCATACACCGGGGCAATGCACGCCCACTGCGCACCATACTGTTCAGCATCGCGCCACCATCTCACAAGCGGGAAGCACTCACCGATAATCGCAGGCTGGGAAACAGGTCGAAGTCACGCCGCAATTATCCTCGGGTCTCATGGAGCTCATATCGGACACCAAGCTTGATGCAAGAGCTAGCGAGTCGGCATCGCCGCATCGGTCACTTCAAACAGGCGGAGGAGTGAATCGACCACTGGACACTGCACTGGGTTCAACGGCAAGTCAATATCGGTCACTTCACTTAATCCACGACAACATCAACATCGCGCTCGTGATAGAAAGGCCGAAGACCAAACCAAAAGTGGACACTGGGTCAAATGATCGATTAGCACATAACGAGAACCTTTCGATCTCTCTCGACATAGGCCTAAGTCCACTGTACTTTTCCGTCGCGAAGCATTCAGAGCCGGACAAGAGGCGAAAGGTACGCGTGACGCAGAACGTGCACAGCGGCATGATGAAGGTCTAGCTCTGGAAATCCAGCCTGAGAGAGGCGGAGACCGCCAATAGCTGTATCTGCCTAAAACGTCGTGCAGATATACAACCTGGTGCCAGAATACAAAGATATCAAGTAGCTGGAAACGGAATTGAACGGATACGAGACAACAGCGTGGCAGTCACACGCTTAACCTCCGGGATTAAGTGCTCAGGATCGACCACCGTCACTAGAGCCAAAGGTGCAGCGCGCGGCAGGACATCTATCAGCACAAGAGGCTACATCGCACAGCAGGAAAGTAGCCGGGATCCATGCAAGGGCCACGATACCTCGCCAGTGACAGCAGGGACGTGTTCATGTAAGAGAAGCCAAGAAGAGGATAGGAATCTCGAAGGCTTCGGGAGAGGATGGGCCTCAGTACGAGAAGTGCAAGGTATGCGCAGTCAATCTTGCCGGCTGGGACTCTTGCGGTCTGACTGCAGTAGAATCCTTCCGGGGTGGTTGTCGGACGGAATCCATCGCGATTGCAAGAGAGCAGCATCCTATCGAGTCTGCTAGAAGATGAGTTGTCGCGAAGATCGCGACTGTCTGCTAAAGATGATTGCACGACCCACTGCTAAGATGCACGATTTACGATTACGATCACTACAACCACAACCACAACCACCAGCAATAACATCACGTGAAACTTACTATAACGAAGCCTCGCGGCTCACTGGCTGAACGAGATTATAACAAATCGCCGCTTTCGCGTTTTCCGACTGCACTGCTCTTCCAGCCGAGCAAGTTATGAAGAACGCTTCTCTATCACTGCGCTCGTCGTGGGTATCACCAGGAGAGCACCAGGTATCGCTCCACAAACCTGGTCATCTTCGTCTCGCAGACGACACTGCGACGTTGCAAGCTTTCTCAGTCCGAAGTCGACACGGCAGGAAAGAATGGCAAGCGAGCATCGCACGAGAATCGTCGCGGATTATACAAGCAAGTCTACAACAACCACGACTACGATCTCACTCACGAGCAACAGTACCAACGCACAGCCTCATCCTTGACCATCCATTGCGAGCTTCGCAACTACCAGGCGCAAGTTCGCTCTTCGTAACTCTCCCTCTTGAACACCACCTCTTCAAAACCCATAATCCAAACTCTCACATGCGATGAAAAGTCAATGTACTGGGTGGATGGTACACGCCGTCGTTATGGAAGCAAAGGCAAAGAAGTCCAAGCCACTAATATTATGCAAAACAGGAGGTCTGTTTGGCCACTTTGCCAAAGCCCAAGCAAGGGATTTCCCAGAATAACGCTAATCCGATGGCCAATTGAGACAGGCGGTGAAGGCCGTTGTGGCCGTCGTCATGCTAGCAATGGCAAAGGAGGTCAAGACTCAAGCCGCAGTGTAGAAGGAGCCCCATTTACTAAAGCAACCGAGAGATATCAAGCGGGAGAGCGCCGATTACTCGTGGCTGTTTGGCACATGCTTGCAATACCATCATGTGTGCCAGGGTCGAGTTCTCCCACTTCTGAACAGTGGGAAACAACCACAGCGCTTTCCCGCGACGGCAGGTCGTTCCATTCAGGAGTGTTACAGGATTCCTAGCGCGTCCCAGCGAATCCCAGCGAATCCCAGCGAGAAGCAGCGCAACATCGGGCGAAGTAGGCGTGACACGGATCTCGCCACCTTTTCTGCTAGCACTCTGACGCGTGTCTGAAGACGCTCGCGAATCACCGTTGTCGGTTCCGGGTACGGCTTCGGCGGTTCTACTGGAGCCTGGCCGGTTCTGCTCCGAGCATACCTCGCATTTGACTGCCATACCCTCCTCTCTCCCTTCCCGACACTCTAACCCCCTAGCTCTTACTCGATTCACTGTTGAGCATGTCTACGTCTCAGAAGGCGCCACGTCAAACGTCGAGCGGCTAATCCAGCGACAACGTCAGTACGACGGACCTCGTACTTGCCTGCGCCGTCTGCCAGAGACCACGCGTCGAGATATACGCTACATTTACACTGTCTAACGGCCTAGGCGATGAGCGAGAAGGAGGTCCATTCGACCGTTCCAGGGACGATGTCAGAACCTAGGGTCTCCTGTTCTCCTACGCCGATTGCCAGAAACCGGTCGCCTGGGTGTACGCATCTTGACAGTGTTTACGGCGGCGGTTGGCCAGAGGAAGACGCAGTCGCCGAAAGATGGATTACAGATTGTTTTCATTGCTTCTCTGCCACCGAGACGACCCTCCGCTACGGCATGGAACTGTGCAGCATAGTCGATGTACAGAACAAACCTGGGAGATCACAAGGCATTGGCCAAGTGCGGGACATTGGCCACATTGCGTCTCTCGGAGTGCTGGCTACCTGTGGAAGGGAAGACGAAGCCGGTCCGCTACGCCCTGCTTTGCTGCTGAGTCCAGCGCAGTAGGTAGTCGCAACGGAGTAGCCATCGGCTGAGTCAGTACCGCAAACGGAAGAGAGCATGGTAGGCCTCCATGCGGACAACCAAAGACAGCGCAGATTGCGATGGAGTCACCATCGGCTCGAACGGTTCTGCTAACAAAGGATGGCATTCTGGCCACCAGCGTCGACCGTCGACGATGCCCAAACAGCTCCTTTTGGCAGGCACCTCGAGACCAGCAAAATGCTCGGCCAGCGACTCACAGTTCGAGCAACAACAGAAATGTTCAATAGCAATGGCGACAAGGGGAACAGCTCGCTCTCTTCCAGGCTCGCCGAAACAGTAGAGTAGGCAGCCCAAGGTGCTCAATCTGTCCAGAAACCGCAGTGAAGCTGTCACTCGTCCAGATCATTATGCCAAAGGGCGAAACGCTCTCAATTTCGACTTTCAACAGTTCGATTGGTTTTGCAAGGACAGGACATGACCATTGATATCGACAACTTGAACTCTTGAACAGTTCGTCTTCGCGGATCGATCCGCTAACAGTACGAGTCCCACATAGAGAAGGCGACAGAAGGGCACGCCGCGGGTCGCAAGGGATTCGCCATCGACTGATCTGATCTCGCAAGCGGAGGACTTGGAAGAGGACACTTAACGCCCACCCGGGCGTTGCATGATAGATCCAGACAACGAGGGCGATAAAGCCCTTTAACACGTGCGCATAATCGGCATTACGCACATCGAGACCAGCAGAGTGGTCACTTAGTAGTACGAGTTGAACTTGGGAAACAAAGGGCAACAGCCTATCAAAGACCCCACGGCAGGCTCGATTAGCTAATTAGCTGAATTGGCCCTACAAATGGAGAAAAGAACCCCGATCTTTCATTTCAATCTTTCCTCCACCACGTTGAGACTAGCAGAATGGTGAGCCAGTAGTACGAGCTGCACAAGCAGAAGATAGCTGAAGAATAGATCAGACTTAGCAATAGAATCCTGTCTCGCTCGATTGATTCGACAGACGTAGAAGAGCATCCTCCACGGGCTACATCCTCCACGGGCTGAAAACTCGCCCTTTGCCGCGCATGTCGAGACCAGCAGAACGGTAGGCCAGCAGCACGGGTCGTGTACGGAGTAGACAAGTGAAGGACGTACCGCATGTGAGAGAAAATCCCCTTTTCAAAGAGGATCCCGTGACCGCTGGACGCACTTCGAGACCGACAACATGGTCTGTCAGCAGTACGAATCGCGTATGGAGAAGGAGAGCGGCGTGTGCCTGAGGGATATGTCTGTGACGCCCGTTACGACGAAAATATGCGAGACGAAAATTTGCAGAACGAGGCCGACTGGAGATTATAGAGAGTATTCAGCCGTACAGAAGCAGAGGTCTGCTACTTCTGACTTGAGATGAATTGAGCGACTTGCATCCGACTTCTTCTTCTTAGCTTCCTCCCGTTTGCCTAGACGTAAGGTGTTGGGAGAACGGCTGCCATAAGCCACCGCCTTAATTTCCCTCTCTGGACCTGCGTGAGAAGTCGCCTGGTTTCGAGGTCACCAAATCGACATTGTAGAGTACCAGGTACAGTTCGGGAGGTACCCATTTTTACCAGGTACAGCTCGGAAGGTACCCATTTTTACTAGGTACAGCTCGGAAGGTACCTACTTTCGAGCGAGGTCAGACTTACCCGTGAAAGAATACACGTTCTGATTACCACCACGTATGCCATTCAGTGGCTTTGCGGAGCGCCGATTCTCTCGACGCAATGTTTGGCCTTTAGTACACGGCCATATCTCTACCGGGGGGGAAAGTTGTGAACTAAGCGCAGAGGCGGCAAAGCCTACTAGTAGCGGGCTCTGGGTCCTCGGATACGCTCTTATGGACGAATGCTCACGGATCGCAATGCAAAATCATAGCTATAGCTATCTCTCCGTCTTCTCCTCCAGGCTACCTCCCTACTCCTTTCCCCTAGTATTCGGTAGTTAGCCTAGAGTTTGGTGGAAATGGATCGTGTGTATCCATAACATCCCTCGAAATCGAATCGCATTAGGTAAGCCAGATAATAATCAAAAAATCCCTTCTTTGGGGACTGAGCTAAGTATTAAAAAATTGTACTGTCTTGCCATCGTTAGTATGGAGCTACTTTTGGTATTATGCTATCAGCGCATCCTTTCAGACTTCAATCCAACGATGGTGGCAAGCGCTCGTTCTAGCAACGACAAAAAGTAATTACAAGAATAGTAACGTTGCTCGGGGGACGTCGACAAAAGTCAGGGGCTTTCGCTAGCGCACCATATGAGAGAACTTTGCGTTTGCTGCGGTTGGGAACTTATTCGTAACTATCCCCCTTTAGAGTCTCTCATTTTCCTCGAATCCTTACAAAATATCTGCGAGCTCTCTGCTGCTGCCGTCGCTTTCCATGACCAGTCGAGCTCTGTAAACGTTAGGAACTCCCTCTCAATCCTTATAGACTGACGATAGGTAAGACTAGCGAAAGACACTAGTGGTATTCCAGGCGTTGGAACCGTTCGAGGGTATTACGACCAAGCTCTCCACAGGGTGACGCTCGTCCTCTGGATAATAATAATCATTCCTGTCGACAGGTGCAAAACAACGGACCTTGTTCTTTACCTAGAACCATACTGCAGCGTTGCTCTTCCATCTTCGGGGGCTCCGACAACGAGCTATTGCCTTTAAGGTTCTGGGTAGTATTAGGAGGAGACCCTCGACCTAGACTTCGTGAATCCAGGAGCAATAGCTATGCGATAATAATAGCTGGGGACTCGGGGGCTAATGGATGGGAGTGCCAGGTAGTAGCAGGAGTGAACAAGAAGAGACGATAGAGACGGGGTAGCGATTATACAGCCTTGGAATAGTAGAGGATTGTTCGAAAAGGGTATATCGTTGCTTTCGCTAGGCACGCGAAGGAAAGGATCATCTATGTTCCAGACCAGGCATTGTGCCCGGAGTATGCTCCTAAATAGAGGTAATTTGCTCGAGGGACAGAGGAGCGGCAAAGAGGTAGAGGGTGTCCCTTCGAAAAGACAGTTCAACTCGAATAGGCAAGCGGCAAGGAGGTAGAGGGTATCCCTTCGAAAAGATAGTCCGACTCGCATAGGCAATACGTCCAGATATCTCGAGAACGGTGGAGTAACAGAAAGCCGGAGGGTTTTGGTAATACAAAAGGTGAATTGAATTTTCTATGTACTCGTCAAGTATAGCGAAATCAGTTCTTATTCGGCCGTCAAAGATAGTTTTTTCCCTATCATTCGCTCTCATTTTTCCCCTCCTCCTCAAGGCCAAACCCCACAAATGCAAACTCCTCCACCAAAACTCAAAAGCCGTTAATCATTGAAGTCGATTCGTCATATGGTCCTAATCTCATATCGCAAAAGTTGTCGTTAGTCGTCAGAAAAAAAGAAGGTCCGGGATGTTGAAGTCCAGACATGTTGAAAGGCAAGCGTCTTGTTGGAATCAAATCGAAATACCAGCAGCAGCCAGCTTGGCATCCAATTCTGCAATCGTGGAGGCAGCAGAGGTCGTTGGCTTCTGGACAGGAGCAACTGGGGCAGTTGAGGCGGTACCTCTCAGTCTGTCGAGGAAGCTTAGCGTTGGAGCAGCTGGCTTGTCGGTGTTGGCGTTGGCGGTGAAGAGGGAACGGGGAGTAACAGGCTTGTCGGTATTGATGTTGGTGAGGGAACGAGGAATGGCAGGCATGTCGGCGTTGATGTTGGCGAAGGTACGAGGAGTAGCCGTAGGAAGGTTGGGATAGCAAGGAGCCTCACTATCACCACCAGTAGCGACGGGCTTGGACGTGAACCAAGCGGAGTTCTTCCTAATCGGCTTTGGGGCGAACAACTTCGCTGGCTGCTGCTGAGATGTATCGGTGGTTGGGCGAGGTGAAAGTGGAATCTCAGCAGTCTTCGCACGAGGAAAGAATCCAGGATCGGAATCGTAACTGTCGAGGCTGCTGCTGTCGCTGCCACGGCGAGCCTTGAGTTCGTTGATCTCCTTCTCCATCTCGACCGTCTGCTTGTAGGACTCCGTTGCCCAGGCGGAAAGCTTGTTGTACTCCTTGTCCTTGGTCATGACCTGAGCTTCCAAGTCGGCGATCTGGTTCTGCATCTTACGCTTCTCATTGGCTATCTGGGTCTTGGAGGTGGTGGTGAGGCGGCTGAGTTCGGATTGATGCTTCTTGGAGAGATCTTCCATCTGCGCGCGAATGCTGACATGGGCATTCTCTTGCTCCTGGGCTTTGCGGTTGAGTTCCGATTGGTGCTTCTCGGCGGCTTCGTCCTGCTGAGTGCGAAGAGCTTGTTCCTGCTGTTTGACCTTCTGCTCAAGCTTCTTGATCTTGGCGAGGTTGACATCGGTGTTGCCGCCCATAAGGGTCTGCGATCGCAAGTCAGAATCAGAGCCAGCAATATGAGCAATATGTATGAAGAGAAGGGGGGACTCTTACCTTTACCATATGCTTCATGCCCGCTTCAGTGTTGATCCACTCTTCCATTCCCTCCTTAGTCCAGCCGGGGTTGATCTTGAGCATCTCGTTAACGACAAAGTCCTGAAAGTGGGAGTTGATAACAACACGAGTAGGACGCGATGATTGCGGGTGCGGAGCAACTGGAGTAGCGGAGGTATGGACACCAGCAGAAGAAGAGCCTGGAAGCGGGACCTGGGCACTACCAATAGGATTGGCAGACGAAGAAGGATCGGGAACCCCGGAAACCGCGGCCCGACCAGTAGAGGAAGGACCTGCAGCCGGAGTAGCACCAGCAGATGGAGGAACTGGAACCGAAAAGACCGGAGCAGGACCAGCAGAAGAATGACCGGGAATCGCATTGGCGTTTGGAGCACCACCGACTTGGATGTAGACCTCCTTCGGATAGGCTCTCTTCCACGCCACGGTCTGATCGACACAAATGGCCTTGGAACGCCACTCGCCAGCCTTCCACTCCTCCATGGTCGTATCACCACCCATCATGCCATTGCCGATCACATTATACTTCTCGCCCATCCAAGTCTTGGAAAAGGCGGAGAAAGAATTGCTCCAATCCGCCATCTTCTTTCCCGGAGCGGAGGAGACTTCCCGCAAGTTACCATTCATAACAGCAGGCTTGACGTGGCTCTGGATCCAAGTAATGACTTTGCTAGTAGCGTTGCGCAGGGCGTCTTCATCCTCGGTATCGAAGTCGATGTATTGCAGGAGGGTGACCATCATGCGTGGGCCCGGCAGACAGTGCTCGGAGATGTTGTTGAAGGCGCAGAATTGGTACATGAGGTTCTGGACTTTGGGGCTCCAGCAGATGTGCTTGGATCCGGATTGCATGTCCTCGTGGGAGAGGTTGCAGTAGGACCTGGTGGGCTCGTTGGTGGTGGTCATGATTGCGGGCGTGAGGAAGGGAGGGAGGCAGGGAAGAAACAAGATGTGAGTTGTAAAGGGGTGAGTTGTGAAGAGCGATGAGAGAGGTTCTGCTAGGAAACTGGGTTGCTGAGTTGTGCAAGCGTAAAAGGTGTTCAGGGTGGGAAGGTAAAGAGAGAGAAAGTATGGGCCTGAAGCTTCATAATATGCCTAGTCCGCCAATAAGCAAACTTTCTCTTGCAGGACGCCTCTGTATGCAACCGGGTACGAGAAGCAAGACAGGCAGTAAAACAACCCAGAAGATGCCACGAGAAGCCAGAGAAGCCAGAGAAGCCAGAGAAGCCAGAGAAGCCAGAGAAGCCAGAGAAGCCAGAGAAGCCAGAGAAGCCAGAAAAGCATGCAGGACTTCGATAACATGCACAGTCCGAGCACGAGCGAACCGTCTTCTGCATTTCTCTGCAAGCATCGCTCAAAATGCACGAGAGGCAAGAAAAGCAAAAGAAGCCAATACAAGTTTGAGAGAAGCAGAGGAAGCAACGCTTGCCCTCAGCCTGCCTTAGGCTGCACTACTCTGTGCCCTAGACGATAACATGGACTCGAGGAGCGACACCGCTAGCTGCAAATCGGAATTCGAACCGAGATCGGGAAAGTTGGCGGTCTGACGTGCCGTACGCAAATGGCCTAGGTAGAAACATATCACCCCAGCGAATCCGATGGGACTTGCCTGAGGCTACAGTTTTGTTCTGTTAGTGCGCTGGTCGAGCGAGAACACACGAGAAGCGCTCTTGATCGCAATTCCTCGGTATGGCCAAATCCACGAAGCCGACAAAAGAAGTTGTTCAATGAAGAGTAGCGAGCGTCAGTATGCTGCATATCGAGTGCTTTTCAGTCATTGACGAGACCAAGAAGCGGCGGGATGATATAGTAGAAGGGAAACCCTACCCCGTAGGAAAAGATAGAGACATCTGGCAAAGGTGATGGTGTTCTATAACAGCTCTCTTCCCCAGACAAGTCTGCTGTCTTCGCCAGATTTTCCTCCTCGCAATCAAAGGTCGTCGTCAAAAGGCATTCTTGTGGCTGTGACATTATTAGGGCGGCCGTAACGAGGCCAAAAAGGAATCCGGCTGTAATAGTAACCCCGAGTCTTCGCTAGCAGAAGTCCTTGGCATATACCCGTGTTGTGAATCACATGAAGCCCGGAAGGAAGAGAAAGCCATGCTGCTGCTGGCATTGGGAATTGTTCCGGTTCCGCCCTAGTCGTATCTATGTCGTTGCTTTTCTTTCTTGCCTTTTCCAGTGACAGCGAAATTGGAGCAGGGCAAAGACGAGATGATATTATCGTGCGCAGTCAGAGATACGGCAGCTCAAGACTCCCTCACTAGGGTGAATGGAAGTGAACTCGTCCGAAGGCCGGTGCCACTGCTTGTCAAACGAATTTAGACCCGTAAAGACGCCAAAGGTCCGCCAAAGTATTGCCAGAGTCTGTGTGATTCAAGATCTCTCGAGAAGATATGCCAAGTCTGAATTGTGAACTTCGCCGAACAACTCTGAAAGTCCGGCATCGCCCATCTTGAAAATGTCTGTGTCCAAGCCGGCGGCGGCGATAGACACCTGGCCAGCCTTTCCAGCACCCTTTGGTGGGAGTGGTGATTCGAGATTGGGGGCATCTTCGAAGGATTACTGAGGCTCGTAAGTAGCGTTCGGCGGAGATGATGACGATGCAGGCTTTTGAGCTCGCTACTGGAATGATGGTGCTGGATAGCGAGCCCGATGGAAAGACTTGTGATGCACAGCAGCGAAGAGTCGCTTGAATTGAGCTCTACCGCTGTTGCCAAAGGCCCAAAGCCCGTGTTCCAGTTTGGGTGAGCAGCATCTTCTTCAAGCGACGGCACTTGTGGTGCGTCAATCCGCCATCGTCGATGTCGATGTCGATGGGAGGTAGAAGTCGACTGTGATCAGATGCCGTGTCCCCAAAGTTAAGTCACGAATTGAAATGAGACACGGGGCAATTCCGGTCCAGGATTTCTGAGCGAGCTTGCTGCGAAAGACTATGTCGAAGACCGAGAATCGGAGCGTGATATCACATTCAAGGAGGGTGTGGTGGGAATAGCCAAGTCCGAAGACGCCGATATTCGACGCGTTTGACATCGGATGCGCCTTTCCATTTTGGAAAAGGTTCGAGAACCGAAATGGAGGAAGTAGGACGCAACATATGTTCTGGACCATTGAAATGGGCTGTAACGGTCTTGTCCTCTTGCCGCTATTGTCCTGTCCATCCAACACGTGCCCTGCTTATTGGCGGCAAGGTTCGGACAATCACCCGGTCATGACAGTCCGCGAAAGCCCGCAAGAGGACGTACATGCACTCATCCACATTGGTGGTCATAGGGCAAAGGCATACTCACCTCCTGTGAAGCAGCTTCGAATTTTCGAATTTTGCTGTCGCGCCAAGGTCCACGCCAATTCTTCTTCTCAGGCACCACGACCATAATATGGCGAGAGAGGTCCAAGTTGGCGTCCATCGCCCGCCATATCGCGTCGTGATATAAGCGCTCCAGCTCTTCGATTGTCTTCTAATCCTTGGGCAGACTGTCTGCGTTCTCTCAGGCATCTTTGTGGAACAAATCAGCGGTTGCAGAACCTATGAGAAAGATCACATCGAGCGGTATCGGGAACAGATCACATGCAGTTGAAACTTGAAAGTTCGCTCCATAAAAGAGGTCACATTCTTGGCCATCTTTCTCTTTTTCGTAGCCGCCTTGCTAATTAGTAATTTTGGTACGAGTCTCGATGCATCCAAGTCCGCCAGATGGAAGACCGACCCGGTGTTGTCCATGGTGTAGACGGAGAATTTTGGTCCAACATGGCGCTATATTGAGAGAGCCGGAGATGAGATGCAGTAGTGCAGCAACTGAGGGAATTCGGTCAACCGCGGAGAAGTTGGATTGTCGATCTGGGACAGCGCTTAGGTCGTTCGCAGCGCTGGAAAATTATTATTCTCAATCTTGCGACATGGTCCCAGACGCTGTACGCCCAAAGTTTCAAGAGCCCGGGCGTCAGAATCGAGAGACTGTAGGTAAACAGAATTTGCGGTAAGGGGTGGTGGGGTTCATCTCCAAGCAACAGTCGGTACGGTCTGCACTGCTGTGCGAGTGGTCTTAAGGAGACATTGCAGGATTCAGGGCAACGTGAGGGTGGAGCAGATGGCCAGGGTTCGACAGAGGGAGGTAAGAAATATAGAAAGAGAAAGGGACAGAGATAGTGAGAATTATCCAGTCCCTTTTTGCCGGAGCCGAAGTATTCGAGCGGACCTGCAGCTGCGTGTCTGCGCTTGAGATGCCTCACTGTAGATTAATCGATCCGGAGGTGCTCGTCCATGTGCATATTTAGCAGATCTCTCTGCATTCGCGGGGTGCGTCTCGTTATTACACCACGACGCTTTTCGCGACCACGGATGTACTTGTGATGGTCGAGGAGTACATCTGAGAAGTTGAGAGTATGGAACGAGCGACGCCCCAGCAAGTGAGCCGCGATTGGTGGCTGAAACAGGTGATAAACTCCTTCACATTCCATAGATCCTATCCTGATTGGGAGCGCAGCCTTGATGCAGGGCGTGGACGGTGAGAGAGCGTAGAGCAGTTTGAATCTTCCCGGGCCATAACAACAGGCGCCGGCATTGGTCGTATGGCGTTCAACGACGTAGTCAGTTCCCTGAATGTTGCAGAATCTGCAATTTCGAAATACCGGGTATGCAGTAGACCACATCACTGGACGAACTTACTCTTGTTTGTCGAGAGTCTGGAGAAGCAGTGGCGCAGTCCGATCCAGCTTTCTAGGTCTGGATGGTTCCAGGATGCGCGGTCCCAGGTCTGAACGTATCTCTCCCATCTTCAGCCTCCTGCGATCGAATCGCATCGTGTCCCTGTGCAACGTTGTGTTGTCTTTTCCTCCACAGATCCACAGAGTATTCCATCGCCGTCTCCACTCAAGTATGCGCTGCTCATTCTCGTGCTTTTGCTCCCCCTCTGGTCTACCAACACTGGCGTAGCTCTTGGTATGCGCGAAATATTCATCCGCATCGTCTTCAACGTAGTCTTTTGGTTTGCGCCGCATGGATAGGAAGATAGTTCGCCTCGCGCCGAGTGTGGATCTCTTCATGAGTCCGCGATTGTGAAGTACTGAAGCTTGTGAGCGCCGCGCTTCGTCCTGTGCAGTCGTCACAACGCTCGTACTCGTGCGAATGATGAGATGGTCATGACTGGCAGCGCGCGGATTGGTGTAGGTAGGAAGTGCCTGCGCCGGGTCGACGAGGATATCGACGGCGAGGTCGAAAGAGGGTTGGCGGGTGGCGGGTCACTGGATGCTGCAAGTCGCTGACAGCTGTTACCTCTCGCGGAGAGTCCGATAGGGCGGAGATGTCGCATGTAGGCGTCGTGAGTGACGAAGATGATTGCCATAATGTACGTCTCGGGGATATGAGAGGATGTGATAATAATGAGGGAGGATAAGGATAAGGATGAATCATGAGATGAAGTTCGCGGAGAATTGAAGCTTGGCGCCGCGGGCATGATGTCGTCGTCGGTTGTACGTTTTTCCGTCCCGGCTGCTGGTGAGCTGGCTGAACATTGATTGTGGTCTCAATCAACGCTGGCAATCGGATTGACTCCAACCCACTACTCAAAAAGATTGTCGCGAGGATCTGATAATGTGTGCTAATCGATCCTGTCCACTGCAATCGCCGCATTCGACGGAACGTCAAATGATTGGAAGTCCATCTGGCTAGGAAGGGAGGTATTGTATTCAGTTTCAACCCGAACGATTGCAAGATCAAAATGATTCATTCGTCAGAGGAGTACATAGCCTCGGCGGGTAGCGTTTTTTCCTTTTTCCGACCTTTTCTGCCATACATGTGTGCGTGTGTGTGTGTCTGCATCTCCCCTTTTCCTCAAAGGAAGACCAAGCTCAGCCTTCTCTCGACTTATCAGAATGGATCCTCGCAGATATCACTCAATCAAATCCCATCCTTTCATCCCGAATCTGCTTATACTCCCTCAACACCTCCTCCGTCTTAGCTTTCCGCTCCGCCATCTTCTTCTCGCCCACCTCGATCGCCTCGCAAAGAGAACCCTGCATCTTCTCCAAGGCAGCTCGACCAGCTAGCTGATCGCTCGTCTGGTTGGCGAGATGAGCGTCGTAGAGGGATTGGCGTAAAGCAGAGACGCCGAAGCGGCTAGCGACTGCCGTGGTGAGTTTGGCGTAGGGCGCGAGATCGGGGTTGTGGGAGAGGTCGGCCAGCTTCTTACCACCACTGCGCTCGGCGAGAGGGCTGCTGTCGGGAGTGCTGTTGATTGTGAAGGAGCCTGGCATGAGCCGTGGGGCCTCTGGTGGGGCGGGAGTTATGTTGTCGTTACAGCCAGCTTGACCTGGGCGGGGAGTCGTTGGCGGAGGGGCAAAGGGGATGTGGTTATGGTTGGCAGCGTTGAAAGTCTGGTCCTGGGCCATGGTGACCGGCGTTGGCGGAGGCTGGATCGAGGAAGGGGACCACGCACCAGCGACGAATCCACCAAGAGCAGTCAAGTTGGCGCCGCCTTGCTGGTTTCCGCCGGTGCTGCCGTCATCGCCAGCACTTCCACCGAGGGACGAGAAGTTGAAGCTGGGCTGTGGAGCGGTAACCTGTTGAGTTCCGCCGGTGGTGCTTTCGCTATTGCCAGCACCGACGAGAGACTGGGGTCCCGAAGAGAAAGATGCTGGGCCGGCAGCGCCAAGAGAAGTCAACTTGGAATCAGCGGTCTGCTGGGTGTCTTCATCATGGCCAGTACCAGCGCCAGGAGCTGCAACTGTGCCCTGCCCCTCCTCGGCCAGAATCTCCCAGACCTCATCCACAATTTTCTTCTTCGAGGCACTTCCAAGCTTCGCCTCGAGGACATTCTCCTTTGCGTAAACTCCAAAGAACCATCGCAGCAGACGATCAGCGAGCGCAAAGTCTAGCAGTGCGTTTCCAGTGCGATGGTTGATGTTCCGAGCCATAAGCAGTACGTCCTGAGCGCTGGGCAGCGTGACGCTGGATCCGCCCTCCTCGGTATCGAGAACTCCGAGGTAGTGGAGAGTGCAGTACTGGGAAAGGATCCGGTCTTCGTCGGCGCTGTAGGTGAGGGTGAAGAATTTGCCGCGGGCGTCACGGCCGGAGATGAGGTCGACAGGAGTCCATTGCTCGACGCCGTACTGCAGAGTGGTCAGTTCGAATGGCCGAGAGGGGTTCGTAACGCTTAGTACCTTGAGACCCTTCAAGCGATCGGGAACGTCCACTTCGGAGCGCTTCGGAGGCTTCGGTGGCGGCATGGCTGAGGTGTTTGCGCCCAAAGTTGAATACTGTAGAATCCTGGGGTTTGGTTTGGGGAATCTTGAAGACAATCTGATCTTTCGCCAATCTGCTGACCTCCGTAGACTAGGAGAAGACGAGATGTGCTGAGCAGTGAATGACGGAAGTTTTGTTCGTGGGAGCGTCTCGTGAAAAGAATGATTTTGAGGTACCAGCTGCAGCGGCACCAAACGGTTAACAAAACAAGCCTGCGTCACAACGACATAGAGACGATGCGTCAAGACGCTGCATCCGGAGTCCGAAATCATGACCTTATAAAGTCATGGTGTTAGCAGGAGAAGCAAGAAGTAGCAGAAGCAACAGAAAAGCCATAGAATCAAGAAAAGCAAACACTCACCTGCATGCCCCACGAGCAACAAAGAGTACCCTCCTACCCCACCTTACCTCCGTATTTCAAAATCTGAACCGCAACCCCTGATCTGAGAATACCAAGATTCTGCTTGGCCATTAGGAACATCCTTCACACACTGTTAGCGAAGTCACACATTAGCGATTCAGCGTCACACACCATTCCGACAAAAGTGCGAACAACATGGCCGACATCGAGCGTAGCAAAGCATGGCTTGACAGCCGAATGACTGAGCTGACTGAGAAGCTTCTTGCTCTCAAGACTGAGGTGGTACGCTCGCTGCCGGTGTATCCGATTGCGATTGAAGAGAGAGTGCTGACTTTATACCAGGCTGCCGACGAAGAGCTGATCGCCGGTCTCAGGGCTTGGCAGGCCGAGTTCACCAACCTTGACGACCAGCCTGATATGGGCGAGGATGCCACTGCCGCTACTGCCGCTACGGCTGCCACTACAATCACGGGTGGAGACCCAGCAGCAGCAGCAGGAGCGGGAGCAAACCAGTCCCAGGGCGAACACTCCACCAACACCGAGAAGTTGCCCAAACTCAACCTCACAGACCAATCCGTCACCGAGGCGGTTCGAACCCTGGCCGAAACCCTCGTGAAGATCATCACGCCAATCTGGGCCGCTTCCAAGGACGCGGGAGAGCTTCTCAGCCGCCACTACGAGAGCCATACGAAGGGCGCCCAGCTCCATCAGTTCGAACAGCGCGCACAGGAGCTGTTCACCTCCAAGATGGGCAACATCGAGCGGGACATGGGTGAGCTTGAGAAGAAGCTCAGCGAGGTCAGCATCGAGGATGCGAGCTTGCAGGATTTCCTGAAGCTGGTGGAGGTTTCGGCCGAGGTTCAGGTCCGTTGGGGCGAGGTTGTGACTGAGATTGTCAAGAATTGACGGCAGGCAAGAATCTCGTAGGTTTGGTGGAACGCAGAATGTTGGCATGGCCAGGGGGAGATAGTAGCCAGAGCAATACATGAGGTTGCCAAGGCAAGCAAGTAATAGTAGCTGGAGTTGAAGTCTTTCTGCCAAGGAATGCCTCTGTAGTACATGGAGAAGTATGGAATGGACGATTTTGCAGGCGCGAACTTGACCCATCTTCTTGTCGTTGTCGAGGCTTGAGACTTCCGATCGAGACCTCGAACGGTTGTGATTATTAGCACGTCGTGAAATCGGGAGCTCCCATACGCTGACAGCCTCCTGTGGCCAGTCGTCTGGCCTTGTAGGGGGATCGCTACGAATCTCAAGGCGGGACTGGCTGTGCTGTGAACAAACCTGCTCGAGGGTGGTGATAGCCGCCAGTTGCTATGGAGAGGATGCCGGAGCGGTATTCTGGGGGCAAGATATGGACACCCGTCCCAAGCACGGCAAAGAGAGCTGTCTGATTGGCAGTGGAGGAGCAAAAGATGTGGCGAGTCTGGTATGGCTGCCACAAGTGCAACGCTCTCCTCGAACGCAATGTCCGTCCTTTTGTGTATGGCAAGTTCGGTGGCCGCCCGTTACGAAGGCTCTTTAATCGTCAATGTCAAACGGTGTGTTGACTCCGTCGTTTGAGCAACATTGTTTGTCCGCCCAGGTATTGCCGAAATATCTGGCAGTGCTTCCATGCTCATTGGTCAGCGGTGACTTGATAAGCACGAGGAGCGCTGTCTCATTCAACACGCCAAATGACCTCGATCGCACGGTTCGGCGAGCGCTGCTCTTTGCGTATCCAGACTCTCAACCTCCGCATCCTTCGATGTGATGATTTTGAGCCCCTTAATCTTCTCTATGACCTCTTACTGCACAACGAGCGCCGACATGCCGTCGGCTCCTACTCGTGTCTCTCAGGCGTCGCAGAGGCTTTGACATAGCCGAAAAGCCTTCAATACGTCTGCGTCGGGAAGAAGGGACGTCAGACGTGACTCGGCTTTAGCGATGCTGTCTGCGGAGGGCCTGGGGGCTCGGCAGATGTTGCGGCAAAATGCCGATCATATTTTGGCAGTAGTATCGGCTATGACACCTCTCGGGTGGTGTGCAATGACATGCCGAGTGTGTGTTGTACTGGAAGATAGAATGGTGGCAGCGAATTCAAGAAGAAATCAGCCCGAACTCTGCAGACGCTAGCGATCTTCGAACAAGAGCCGGCGCCCCGACGGCCCGACGCCTAAATCAACTTCAGACGAGACTTCCTAGATCTGATCTCTCACTTTCGTCACAGCACTCGCTTCGTTTGCGACAGCGTGTCTCTCCCTACATGCAGGTGGTATAATCCGAAGTCAGCTTGATCACGTTCGCGATCCCTTTCCTGCGCTAATGCAACTCCACATTGGCATCAATTCCGCACGTGAAAATCCAAATTTTCTGCTTGACATAACAAGAAGCCGATGCGGCAAAAGAAGACGAGTGCGCCCGTAAGTAGTAAGCGCTTGGAGGAGATGTATTCAATCAGCGGTCCGCGGTCGTACACAGCTTTGCAACGTCGAGGCATCTTATACCGACGAGAATGCGGAATTAAAGAGTCATGGTATTAAGAAGACGTGCTGCACTGCTGTTCAGGACTTGAGGTAAACATGAGTATTTTGTAGGCAAGCCGTCTTTCCAGAGACCGCAACGCCTTCTGTTAGACAAGCCGTACAGCTACATCGAAGGGTCGTACATAATATTGCCTCGTAGGCTGGGGAAGCGTCCAAAGCTAACACTGTAGCTAAAGTGCATGTAACAGCAGTAGAGATTCTTGGCTACACCCACGTTTCGAGCAAGAGATTTGATTCTTCTGACTTTGTATGCTCCGAAGATACGTGAACTACACAGCTAACATAAGAGGCAAATTGAGCTCATTCTCGTATGGATGTCACAACGAAGGATCGCATCCCCAATGGTATAAAGCGCATGCAATAGCAGCAAGCGGGTCTAGAATTGGAAACGTCTTACAAACCTAAGTATCCAAAATTGTGGTCCTTTACAAGCTTTGAAGGTTCTAAGATTGTGCACGCTTTACGATCCTAGAGGTTCTAAGATTGTGTACTTGCTACAATCTTAGAGCGCACTTCGCCGCGCTCTTTCATCGACGTAGACGTCTACGGCAAGCTCTGCTAGCATACACCAGCGGACGAACTCCACTCCCCTGTCTTCCCGCATTTGGTTCGTTTCTTAATACTCGAAGTTTCTTCGACTCGGCTTCGATCGTCCGTCGAATAGACCACCGTGGTCAGATAGGCACCAGGTGCGTCGACAGTGTTTCAAGGATGCTGAATCATTCGACAACATTGGCTTCATACTTAGAGAACAACAATTTCGATATGGTTTCCAAGACAATGCAATGCTTTAGTTAGCATCGTGGTGGACAATAGCTACAACCGCTTGGTGAAGGACAGCCGCAACATATGGCTGTCGGCATTATCGATTATACCAGCGAATGGCTTGCCTGAATGCAAGCAAGTTGCTAACACTTCAAGGCCGCAGATAGTATCGATCCGAGAACGTTCAATGTCCTCCCGGTAGGTTGTCTGCAATGTGACCGCAAGCTCTGTAATCACGTACGAATCACGGCCACGCGTCGTTGTGGAGCAGCTCGTGGCACATGGCGTGGATTGTCCCGTTCGCGGTGTTTGATAGCTTTTAGCGCTACAGAGCTCGGAGGCTGGAAATCGTATGCCTAGCGCAATTTCATCTTCACTGCTATCAATAGGAACCCCCATTCGCATTCTTGAAATTGATCGCAGAAAGAAGCTCAAAAGGTGCAGGGCCGAAAGTCGATGCACTAGTCTCGAGCCCTTAGCTGCCGGTGCTGGAGATGCAGCAGCAGCTCCACTAGTATCCCACATACCATGTTCGCTCGAGCGGGAGAGCATAATTGCTGTAGTCAGCCCGGCAACGACAATCGATAGCCTGAGATACAGGACGACTTCCGTAGACCCAGGGACTTTCCCTTTGACGCAGCGTGTAATGGCCGCTCCAGATCAGCACACACCTAATCTGGAGCAACGGAGACTTCCCTCCAGCGAAGCCGAGTACCGCCTTTGCTATGCCGTCAAGTTTCTTCATCGCAATATCATGATTCCAAGCACTGATTATCGCTGGCAGGATATCGCCCAATACTGGTAGGCTTATCATTCCTACGGAGGATAACAATCGCGATGAATGAGTCAATTGACACCGCTGTCGGAAGGCCTATTGACTGTACTAGCTCGTCGCAAATATGTTAAGAAAGTAGGGTATTTGCAGGGAAACAGCAAAATACACCTCCTCGTCCTCGTCCTCTGCCTAGGATCCTTTCTGCCCTTTCCTCGAGGCGGGACTGGCTACTCATCCTCGCTAAACAGACCCGAGATAGTAGCTAGCATCCCGAGTAAACAGACCGCTTTTCGCTTCCTCTCCCGACGAGAAAGCAACGGATGGAAAACTGTCTTGCGATTTAATAAACGGACTGGCAGTGACGCAAGACCACGATGCTATAAGAGGACCGTTGCTACTTCAGTCGAGGAAATGCAGAAAGAGGAGTGATGCATAGTTCAACTCGGGGGGAAGCCTTCTAGTACCTTCATTAAGCTAAGTCACGTCAGGTCGAGAAACCATTGCCCCGGAGCTTCCCTAAGAGATTATCGCCCCGATCAGCCTCGAGATTTTGAGCGACATACATATTTCGACTATCTTGTAAAGAGATGTAACACCATGATCTGATCTGCTCTGCCCTATCGTCGAAAGAACATTCCGTCTTCTACTGCTATACTAACCCGGTAACATGGCGGAAGAGTACACTTCTCCTCCGAGGCAAATCGGTCTAGGACTATCGCCGTGGGCATGAGACATGTCCTCGCAGCAGTTGTAACTCTTCGAGGCTGGACGAAAGCTTTTAGAAGGCCTACAGGCGTCAGCTGCGTTGTTCCAATCCTTCTTCTACTAGTCGTGTAGCGAAGATGTAGGCAAGTGACCAGTCGATCGAAACAGAATACTAAGAACACGATGAGACGGAATATGACAGACTAGACGCATAATTCCATACCTCTATATATTCGACCTTGTATCTACTTGTCAATTCTTCCACCAAACTATGTCATAAAATGTCGAGACAACATATCAGCGAACCTCTTCCGTCTCTCACTCCTTTCCATTCTAACTCCTGCCCTTCGCCTTCTTCTTCTCCCTATCAAATCCTCTAATCATCTCATTCACAGCAAGCCGAAAGACCTCCAAGACTCCATTATTCTGCACACACTTCCCCGCCTTCTCACACAACGGCCTCACAACCCTGTCTTTCCACGCTGAAATTCCACGCGGCAACTGTAACGACTGTCCCCTCTTCGCATCTCCAAATTTGAGAGAATCGATACAGTTCTTGTCCGCCTGGGTGAGGCGCTGCTCGTGTTCTTGGAAAGCGGAGGTGTTGCGCAAGGAATCGTAGAGTTGGGCGAGTTGAGCGGTATAGAGGTCCGCTTGGATTGGTGGGAGGGCGAGGATGTGTGGCCGTAGGAGGGTCTTGTAGAATGTCCAGGCGGGCTTGGTGAGGTGGACCGCCCACGAGGTGAGAGTCGAATTCGTTGTCGCGGTGTGGAAGGCCCAAGTTGAGACGATGTCGGACTCGTAGAGGGATTGGGCATGATTGACCAGAGGTGAAGGAGGGCTGTGGAGGATCTGTGTAGTAAAGATTAGTAAAGCAGACAATATACTCGATAAGGGACGGAAATGAACTTACCATTTCCAGTTTCTCCAACTCGGTGTCAGCGTTCGTAACGTACGTCGTCACATACTCCCTTAGATCGTAGAAAGCCACCTACGAGTAGAAAGCGCAAGTCAGCAATTCGCACAATCAAGCTTCGTTCCTACAAAGGGAGACACATACCCTGATATCCAGACTCTTGTCCCTCACATTCCCAAGCCACTGAGTCAACTCTCTCTCTCCCTGCACTGGCCCTAGAAGGTGAACATCCCTGCCCTTACACTGTGCAAGATTGGGTGTCGAAGGTACAGGACACACGGGTTCCCAGCTCTTCATATACCCCCGCTGCTGTTGTTGGTCTTCCTCCTCTTCTCCACCACTGCTCTGGCCGCGCCTCGCAAGCATGCCAGTGTAGAAGTCCCATTCGCGAGGCTCTTCGTGAAGGAGGCACTCTTTGAGGTCGATGTCGCATACCACTGCATGGCTCTCGGTAAGGATATCAGAGAAGGCGGGCAGGTTCCGAGTCTTCAGCATTGAGATGGATGTTGATACTAAGGTGACGATTGCGACTGCTGTGGTGTGTTCTTTCTGATCGGTGGCCGACGTATTGCAGAAGAAGTCGTGGACTATCACTCCTGTAAGATGAAGAAGTGTAACAATCCATGGTGACAGCAGCAGGTAGACAAGTAGAAGAGAGCATATGGTGTAGTATGGATGTCTCCAGATCAGGCCCGTGATTTCAAGGGCTGAGTGCAGCATGCCGACTACGATCCGAGCTCGTGGAGCGCGAACAGAACACCTGGTGCAAATGGGCTGTCCGGTCGCGGGGTGCAGAGACCAAATGGTATGGAAGTTCGATAGACGCTTCAGCCCACATGATCCACAGGTTTCGCCGGAGAAGAGAGACGCCGCAGAGGGTCGGTGTGTAGAGGAATCGCTGACAGAACGAGGCCGAGGTCGAAGAACAGAGCGCTCAACCTTGTCGTCACTCCTGGTAGTACGATGCGGCGCCGGCGGCTGATAAAGAGAAGATGGCAAATCCAGCGGCCGATCAAATACAGATCGTCTACGATGCGATGGCTGCAGATAGGATATCGCCTTGCCAGCGTAGCCACCATTCAAGAACGCCGCCAGAGCCGGATCATTAGTAGATGCTGTTTGCGAATATGATGTCTGCTTCAGGATGCTCTTCGGCTGCAGTGGACTTGGACTTATCGCTGCGGCTTTCGACGACTCGTCTCTAGTATTCGTTGCTGGGATCTTTGGCTCCGGCCGCGGCGGCGGCCCAAGACGGGACTGAGTGGCATACAACCGCGGCGATCGGCGATTTGCAGAGAGCGATAAAGAGCGAGAAGGTTGCATCATATCAGCCGGGAGATCGTTCCAGTCCTCTGTCTTGTCGTCTTTAAACAACTGCTTCTGCGGGTATGAAGGCACCAAAGCATACGATAGTGAAGCCTCTTGTGAATGAATTGCCGAAGGAATCTCCATCTGCTTCGTTTGGAACTGAGTTCCATCTAATGCACCACCAGCCGTGGGTGCCTCTCCCTCATCTTCCTCGATAGCACTTCCTTTGATGTAGGAAGAAGGGACATCGAAGCTCCTTGACGGCGGGAGAGTGGCGGCATCGGAATTGGTGGGCGGAAGCAAAGGCTGCAAAGAGCTGCCTTGACTAGCTCCTTGCTTTTGTGGCAGACGAGTGCTCGGAACTGATGCCCGCGGGCTAGTAGTAGCGGCAGATGGAAGATAGTCGCCTTGCTCAAATCCACCAGAACCCAATAGATTCGTACCTGTGGCGAAAGACAGCGATGAATGGAGCTTCGGCGTGGGCTGAGTGACTTTTATGGCAGGAGGCGCAGGCGCAGAAGATGGGGTGCGATGATGGAGACGCACTTCCTCCGGAGTCTTGTTTGACAATGTAGACTGTTCATTGCTTTTAGGAGGAGAGTGTGGCAAAGTCGGCTGCAGCTGCTGTGGCTGAGGCGGAGGTGCGGGTGGGCGGCTGTCTTTCAGGGATACAGGCGGAATGGTACTCTCGTGCGACAAGTCGCGAATCGTTGAAGTGGAAGAACAAGGATTCGAAGGCTTCCAACCACCCCATCCGCCTGGTGGCAAAACACTGGACGTGGGTGCCCTATCGAAGTCATCGGTACTATAAGCGCCCGTGGAAGTGTTCCTCGCCTGCAGATCGGGAGCCGTATTCTGCGGAAATGATGCTGTCTGATGGCTAAGCTCAGAGCTGTGGAGTGTGGAGTTTGTCCTGTTTGGTGGGTCTTCCAATTTATCCTGCTGCTTGCCCAATTGCATCGTCGTAGAAGTAAGAGCAAAGCTCCCACTGACAGCGGTATTGGCAACGCCGGTATTTAAACATACTGTCTTCGTCGGCTTGTCATGGCCGGTAGCGCTGCCCTCTCCTTTGGACAAATACTTCCTCGAAGATGCCCGCGGAGTCGAGGATGTCAGCGATGGTGTGAGGGACGGCGAAGGTCCAGTGAGGATCCTCGGAACATTCGGAGAAGGAGAAAGAGCATCGTTGGCAGCGCTGGAATCCTTCAGAACAGAATTGCTCGAGGACGACGAAGATGACGCTTTCTGGCCCAAGAAGCTAGGAATCGCTGAGCCGCCAGAATTAGCAACTTGAGAGTGGGTACCTTTTCGCTGGTTAGGAATTTCCTCTGAAAGCGAAGTGTTGGGTGCCGCGGCCTTCGCTGGTAGGGAGGGAGACGTTCCGGATGGATGAACAGGATTGGAGGATGTGACCAGGTCGTTCGGCTCATGTCCCACTAGCTCCTGTGGTGGAGCGAGTGACGACTCGTTCTCGTCCCATGAAAGCGGTAGTACTGGAGCCTCGGGCTCTGCTCTAGGCTTACGCTTGCGCTGAGAAGAGAGCGTCTCGTTACCAACATGGGTCGACGGCTGAGCTGATACAGAACTCTTGCTCGGATCGATGCCAGGCGCAGGAGTTCCTGGGCGGTGTGGTTCGTTCGTGCCTTTGGTTGGAGGAGGCGTGAGAGTCCGGCCTCCGACGGATGGCGACGACCGACCGCGAATGACTGAGGATGGCTGAGATGAAACAGCACCCTTGCCCGGCCCGACGTGAGGCGCAGATTTCTCTGAGCGGTATGGGTCCTCCGAACCTTTGCGTAGAGGAAGCGTGTGGTTTCGGACTCTCACGTCTGGCGACGACATCTCACCCACTTGTGAGGGCGGCTCAGCTGGAGCAGCACTCTTGCCGAACTGCGTAGGAATGCTTGAGCGGTATGAATCCGCCGTACCTTTGCTTGGAGGAGGCGTCAGCTTCCGAGCTCCAACTGAAGGCGAAGGCAAATCACGGGTGCCGGAAGAAGACTGAGTCGGAGGTGTTGGGCTGGCATTGTTGTCATGACTTGATCGACATCCAGTAAAGGGGGCGGTTGGGTGTTCCAGTTTCTGTTGTTCTTCGTCCCGTGGCCAGAAGGAGCAGGAGGCGCCGGTGTATCAGCTCCACGGAGCGTTGGAGGAGGCGTTGACCTGCTGCCTAGATCTGAAGACGAAAGGTTTGGAGGAGGAGCCACACGTGAGGGCCGAGTCGATGACGGATGCGGTGGTGGTGGTGGTGGCTGAAGCAGCGGATTTGCAGAGGGGGAACTCGTAGAGGCGCGTGGTGGAGGCGTCAAACGGGAGCCAGGAGGCGGAAGCGACAGACCAGAAGATCGACTGTCATCAACAGAGGCTGGTCTGCGTTGTACTGCAGGGCCGAAGGAGTCTCTGCTCTGCTCGTGATGAGTCGGTAAAGACGAACTGGGATCTGGTGGCTCATTGTCCCCACGAACGTGCTGGCCGATGCGGTTGAGAAATTGCCGGCCCCAGGATGGAGAAGCAGGCCGCGAAGAAGAAGAGGTAGGAACAGCTGAGGGAGTCGCGGCTAGGTTTTCCATGGCCTCGATCGTGGGAGTCTTTTCGGGCAAACCGAGCCAGACTTCCCAAGAGGTACGTCTAGAGTTGGGGTCCGACATGGCCGTTGGTCATCCTAAAGGCGACGATAATGTTGGGTATCTTAACGGCGAAGACACTGTCGGTAGTGATCACTGTCGGTTGGTATGACGGCGATACCGTTGTTAGTTTCCTGATGGCGAGTTTGAATCTGATGCTAATGCTGCATTTCAGCTGGGGGCGTCAAACGCAGGTATTGAGGTGCAAAGCAGATAGAGGAGATAGAGTGTTTACACTGTGGTAAAAAGAATTGAGATGACCGACAAGGTATCGGGATGTTGTGCGAAGAGTGAGGGATGGAAGACGAGATGTTAAGGTATTGAAGTGGCATAAGAAAAGGAGCAAGTTAGAAATGCAAACGGTGCCAGGTTGCTTCCAGCCCCTCCTCACATGCATGCATAGCTTTGCCAAGACAAAGGGCTTCAGCACCAGGTATTAGGTGACTTGCAAGTTAGGACCCAGCCAGGACTACTCACGACGCTGAGCTCTACCAATCCGTAGTTAAAGCACTGCCCAGCACCAGGTGTTGTTCCGGGAAGTGAGCTGTCCAGTGTGGCATGGCTATGCCATCGAGGACGTCATATTGCGCTCCGGAATCCGGATAATGGACAGACACCTGCGCAGACTTGCGACCCTCTTTGCACCTAAGAAGAATCGTTCCGACGAAGTCCGGTCGGTCTAGCGTAGCGTAATCATTGTAGGGGCGCTGCGATGGGCAGGCGGCGCTGGCCTTTCAACTTCTGTTGTCATGTCTCCTCATCTTCTGCGCAGCATCTTGCATTGCTCCGTCGCCGTTATAACGTTGTCGGCAGGGCAGCGGCAGAAGCGACGACAGGCTCATGACTTGAAAAAGCAGCTTGTTGACGAGAGAGTGGCATGGCGCGGCTCGTGTAATATCCATCCTTCTCTGTACTGCCTCCTCCGCAGTTGGTGGCCGAAGCCGCAAAATTCGGCTGCGCCGACAAAGTTTGCTTGCTTGCTAGAGTCTGGCTACTAAGTCTCCGCGTGTCCGTCCCTCTGCCTTGAAGTTTATCCTCTCGGCTGCAGACAGACTTCCCCCTCTAAGGGCGACGACGAGATTTCTTAGCTTGCGCCCGCGGCCCCAGTAAGGTCGCTATGCCCGAGTGTGTTAGCTATGCATTCATCTCCTCCTCCCCTTCTTTCGCGTACCAGCTTCAGAGCCATCATGTAGAGCGCACATCCTTATGTCTCAATTGTCGAATGTCGATGGGATATCTCCGGTTCGAGCGAAGAAGGGAGGTAGGACTCGAGGAGAGGTGTGTGAGTGTACGGAGATGCAGGTCGTAACTTGGGCAGTCTGGAGCGGCGGGCGAGCGGGCGGAGAAGTGCGCCGCAAAGCACGTAGACACTAAACAGAAGAACAAGAGCAACCCTCAGAGTGCAGCAGTATCACGATTGCAAGAGATGCAGCGATGTTAATAGGTAGTGACGATGATATGAAATGCACGGGTTGCCCGGATACGCCGGTCGCAATCTGGGTTCGGCTCGGAAGCGGGACCTCGGAGGTCGGGATCAGGCGACGTTGCGCTTGTTCTGCACCTTCCAACCTCACTATCGCTGTCAAGTGACACGCCGACATTACAACACTATCCGCAAATGCTGCCATTGTCAATACTGTCCTCGCCAATAATGGATCCATCTATTCTGCACCGGTCAATTGTCGGCCTCCATCTTCTGCAATCGGCGTTGCTCAGGCGTACATTCCGCATTCCGCCGCGTTGCACGACATGGACGACCATAACAACCATCGCAAAGCCATAACACGTACCGACAAACATACATTTCCCGACAGCCCCAGCATGCGCTGACTGTCATGCTCATACAATTAGCAGACTGTGTCGAATCACCCACACCCTCGCCCACGCCCGCGCTCACGCCCACGCCCGACAAGCAATGCCATCCCTCCCGCCTCCTCTCGAACTTGTGTTTGTGACAATCTGCGCCTTCATCATCTCTTCCGTCTACAATTGGTCGCACAGATCTCCGAGTCCGAGTCCGGTCGCCAGATCCAACAAACCGCTTGATTGCCTTGCCTCCATTGCGGGTGTCAATGTAACGCTACTCCCACAGGGCGTTGTCCCCGGTCTGATGGCCATGATGCTGCCGCTGAAGCAGCAGCCCGATGAATATCGCGCGAGACAGTCAGTCAATTTCCTTATTGTCGAAGGCGGCGGCAGCGGCTCCTCCAAAGGTACAGATGTTGATGGCACAATAGATGGATGCAAGGAACAATGCCCTTTCAGCAAGACACCAGCGACAACACGGAGAATCTCTGGAAAATGTCTCGCGCTGACTGGAGCTTGCGTGAGACGTATCGGACACTCCTCTCGAGTCTCTCAACGGACTACACGCACGTCTCTACGACTCGCAACCCTCTCCCTCCGCTGTACGCGTGGCATCTTATGCGAGAAACGGCCAATTCGACCTCCGCAATCACCGCCCTCGCCCATGCCGCCCTGCATAACGAACACTCTTCTTCCTTGCCTCACGAATTCCTCTACGCCTTCCTCTGCCGCTTCGCCGACACGAACGTCACCTCCTTGCCATGGGCTTCCCCGCATCAATGGGTCGCAGAAATGAGGAGGGATTGCGAGATGAATCGGATACGTCAGAAGCCAATGGAGGCCTTGAGACTCTTCATGCGGGCAGCGCACGAGCTTCGTCAGGCCTGCCCAAGAGAAGCCGGGGAGAGTGTATGGAAACAGGCTGCACATGGAGAGTCTCTCGAATCCGTCACGATCGCGCAAGAGCTGAAACCCCAGATCCTCCAGCGAGTCGACGAGATCTCCCACACCGAGGGTATGCGCGCTTCTCGCATGGTGCACTACCATTGCGACCCGTCTCATTTCTCGCCCATCACCTGCCCACCGGCGCCATACGAACCGGGCTTCAGCCAGCCAGTCTTCGAGACACACGAAGGAGTTCGATCTTCCCACCACGCCATGTGTCGCGTGAGCAGCCCTGCGAGAGTCTTCGGAAACCCCGTCCCCGGAGACAAGGAGGAGAAGATGCTGAATGGTCTGGTGGAGATGTGGACAACCGTGGTCTGGGCTGAGTGGTTGGGTATTGTCTACGAGCAGATTGCGAAGACAGTGACAACGGAGTGCGAGAACGTGATGAAGGTGCTGGATGACGAGTTCGAGAAGCTGTTTGACATGATCATGTCCGACGAAACGGTCGCGGACAAAGAAATGGCGGAGGAGATCTTGAAGAGGACTGTAAGAGTCTTTGGGCGGAAGATTGCTGGCGCTGAGACGGCGGATCGAGACGAAGACGCCATACTCGGACTCTTCGCTAAGGACGTTACCACATCTACAAGACAGGGCGGGGACGACGAAAGCGAGGGAGAGGACGAGGACGAGGACGACTGGGTCGCCACCAATTCATGGAACTGGCTCTCCACTCCCAAGAATAAAGGAGCGCCTCGCAACGCCAGGACCTGGGATCGTCTCTGGCGCAGAATCGCCTGGGGAAAAGAATGGCTCCGTCTGCGAATCACACCTCTCTGGCCATACCATCACGATTTGAATCACTACGGTGACGCTCCTACCTGGAACGGCGTCGACGCACTCGACGCCATCGACGCCTGTCTCCTCTACCCTTTCCCCTACACGAACCTCACGAGCGAGAGCCCGGAGGTAGCGGCGTACACGATCGCGAGAGGAAGTGTCTGGATCTTTTGGTTAAAAGGTACGAGGCCGAACTGGATGGTTACGGGCAACAATGCGACAGGTAACGAGACGGACGGGCCGGGGATTAAATTGGACGACGTTTTGGTCGTAAGGCCTTTGAAACGGGAGGTTTGAGATTCGAGAGAATAGAAGCGAGACGTGTTTGGTTCGTAAAAGTCGTCGTGTCTCGACTATAGGCTCGAGTCGCCTTAGAAAACTTTTAGATAGGTAATTTTAATTTTGTTTTCTATAGAGAACTCTACTTCTCTTCTATTTCCTACTCTTAATATTATCTTTCTTTTAAATCTCTTCTTATATCTACTAGTACTAATCTCTAGCTAGTAGATATCTAGAGGCCTTCTAGATAGCTAAAAAATATTAGTACTATCTCTTAGTAGTTCTTATTAATTTACTTATAGTTTTACTATATACTTAATAGACTAATATCTACTCTAGTATATATTATAAAATAATAGTTTAGAAGAAAAGTAAAAGTAGAGTTAGAGTTAGATAACTTAGATTATATAATATACTAAGCCTAGAGATACTAACTAGAAGGCTTAGATTAGGCTAGTAATCTATACTAACTTACTAACTAATCTATCTTTAATAGTACTATATCTATATTAGATTCTTCTCTATTTAGTTCTATTACTTCTTCTTCTAATAAGCTATAAACTTATTAATCTTAATGTCTTAAATTAATAGATTATAAGCCTAGGTTTATAACTAGATCCTTAGAACTAATCTAAGAAGTATAAGTTATTCCTTATCTTATAAGATCTCTAGAGAAGATAGAAAAGAAAGGCTAACTAGAGGCTTACTACTATAGTATATCTAGAAGATATAGTCTATACTATAAGTATATATAAGTCGTAAAAGAAGCCTAGTAAGAGAGCTACTTCTAATACTTTATAATAGTTTTAGGAAGAGTTTATTAGAACTCTATTAACTATAAACTCTACTATATATTAGAAAAGTATATATATATTATAAGAACTACTCTCTCTCTTACTACTAACTTCTAGTACCTTCTATATAATTATATATACTTATTTTTACTAATAATCTTTACTATAGAGCTATAGTATTTATTTATTAAAGAAAAGTATAGATTTTGATTCTAGGTTATTTAGAAAGAGAAGAGTAGTATCTATATTATTAAAGAATAACTAGAGAACTTAGTTTAGCCTTTAGAAGAATAATCTTTAAGAGAGAAATATTATTATAAAAGAAAGGAAGGTCGGCTTA